GGGCGCGGAGCATGGAAAAGGTGGCACTTTAATGCTGCAGCAAGCTGTCTTTTGTGTACACCTGTCTGCCACTGCTTGGGGTGCTTAATGCATTTTTGGGAATCTGAACGAGATAAGACCCTTCGCCTTGGACTATGTGGAAACTCGTTGAAACACCAGACAAGTGCACACGTGAGACGGAGTGCTTGATGAGTGGGCCACTTTTTTCACGCCCAGCGTGGGGGGAAATGGTACCTCGGCATTGTGGCGGTGATGGTGAGTTGATCGATTCGTGTAGAGTGGGAGTGAGGTTGTGTTGATGTAACTGGGTGATTATAGGTAGGTAGTTCGAGGTGGAGAGATTCAAGATATATGTATGGTTCCGGGAACAGATGCAGTAATGACTAGACTCTGAACCAAAAAACTCTTCAAATCGCACGCGGTACTTAGCTTCTTATGTGACATTTCTAACCCCCCATCTCCTGACTACCGCCACGGATTTGTGTTCATGAGTTCCGAGAGCTACCATTGTTTGCTACACATGATATCTGCAAGCCTCGGCGGGCTAGCATGAAGTGGGCATCAAGAGCCGATCGTGGGGGAGGCGAGTGGAGCCCGGGTTAGCGGATACGTGAAAAAGATGACTGGATCAAGGGGGTACGGAACGTATGTAAGTAACAAGATACCCTGACTGAATTTTGATAATAGTACATTATGAGACACTACATAAAAGAAAATTCCGGTTCGCCACAAATTTGTTGCCGCAATGCTGTCGTCGAACGAAAGATGAGATCCAAGCATCGTAACCACGCAGCCTCAGTAACAAGAATCATGCACTGAACTCAAGCCCATAAATCGCTTACTCAAACAACTTCAAGCCATGCTCATCCATCCCTCTCGATTAATTCGCCAGCTCACGCGCCCTGCCTCGCCTTCTCCGCGCAAATCAGTGCAATGATCCGGCTCAGCTCCGCACTCTGCCTGAACTGCTCCTGCTTCACACTCTCTTCGACGTCTTCGCTCGCCGCGAGCTCCTGGCCCACCTTCAGCATCCGGTCCTGCAGCGAGAGCATCTTGGCAAGGGTGTTGTCGAGGAAGGGCGCGCTGAAGGTGATGTTGGTCGGCGAGGAGGTGTTCTGGCCCAGGCGCATTTCGAGCTTGCGTGGGGGCTTTTTGGCTTTGGGAGCTGGGGAGGCGGGTTGTTGGGATGGTCTGGAAGGTGTCAGTGTGGGACGGAGACGAAAAGAAGCGATCAAGACTAAGAGTGACGAGACGGTTTGAAATAGGAAGAGGGGTGAACGTACCTCTCGCGCTCCACAAAGGTAATGTTCTCCGCCATCTCAGCGACTCGGTTTGCGATTCTCGACGCCATGACCTCGTAAGGCGAGGGGATGTGCTGAGGGACGGCGCTGGCTCCGTTCGTGGATGGCTTCTTGGGTCGGGCGACGCCGTTGGAGACTCCGTTGACTGCGGGCATTGCGATTTTTCGATGTGAAAGGTGTAATGTTTAGGAGTATTTTTAAGGTCTACGACCCTATTAGCACTGTATTCAGGTATTGGTCTCGTGTTTCTTGAATGAGCGAAAAGGGTCCTCCGCGTGATATATAAGATGCTATTTTGAATCGCAAGAGACTAGGGAAATGAAAAGGCCTACCGGTTGTGATTGAGAATATGAAGACTGGTGAGAGTACGTAAGGAGACAGCGAGAGGGGATATGATGAAGGGATGCAAGCTTGTGCCACAAAAGTTGGCACTTCCCGCGCCACGCACTACGTCATCTGGGGTAGGGAACAGGGGTGGTTAGTGCAACCCTCTACATACGCTCGCTGTAGATCGTACGTAGCTGTTAACCTTGACCCGCTCTGACAGAAAACGCTCTCAGGTAGTGCCCGTTGTGCCGTTGACGCCGAGTTATGTTGTCCTCTTTCTAAATCTAAACACGCTTTGGTGACTTCAATCAACAACACCGCGAGCATGGCGCCGAAGCCGAAGAAGACAGACCTCGGGGCAGGCCTGAACGTTGCGAAGAAGACGGTCGAGAATCACCCGGCTGGTCCACCGAAACATGGAGAGTTGTCGCAGGCTGAACGAGCCTTTACGTTGGCGTCGACGTTTATGTCGGGAGTTTTGGCGTAAGACTTCTCGATCTGTGAATACAAGCACAAAAAGTAACATTTCGCGAACAGTATAAGCGCATCCCAATTCCTCGGTGCTCCTCTGAAGCTCATCGATCCTGCCTTTTACGATGGATACATGGCATATACGAAAGAGTCGTTCGCGATCTTGATTACCTGTCTAACACAATGGTGGGCCCCAACCGTGGTGCGCGTGAGCGGAGATGAAAGCATGGCCGGCCAGCTTTCACAGATGAAGGATGGCAGTCTGAAATGCAACTTCTCTGATCGGATGGTTATGATGGCAAACCACCAAGTCAGTAAAGTCTCGAAGATTGTTCCCTAGCGTCAAAGTAGTGAGGCTAACAACAACAGCTCTATACCGATTGGCTATATCTTTGGTGGATCGCCTACACAAATGGCATGCACGGCTACATCTACATCATCCTGAAGGAGTCTTTAAAGAACATTCCAATCCTTGGATGGGGTGCTCAGTTCTACAATTTCATCTTTCTATCCCGGAAGTGGGAAGACGACAAGCACCAATTCAAACAACATCTAGCGACACTGAACAAACCAAAGGACCCTATGTGGTTACTCATATTCCCCGAAGGGACGAATCTTTCGCAATCTACGAGAGAGGCCAGCAAAAGATGGGCGGACAAGAACGGATTGCAGGACATGAAACATCAGCTTCTCCCGCGGAGCACCGGGTTACGCTTTTGTTTACAAGAATTGCGGGAAACCAGTCATTGGCTCTATGATTGCACCATTGCCTACGAAGGTGTTCCGTAAGCAATGATCCAAATCTCTTATCACACAAATATACTAACCAGCCATGAAGTCCCGGTCAGTTCGGGCAAGATATTTTTACCCTTCGATCCTCTTTCTTCGAAGGCCGTCCCCCAAAGTCAGTCAATATGCACTGGCGACGATTCCACGTCGACTCCATTCCGATAGACAACCCGAAGGCCTTCGACGTCTGGCTTAGAAATCGATGGAGAGAAAAGGATTACCTGCTTGAATACTTCACCCGTCACAGCAAGTTCCCAGCCGACGACTACTGGAAAGATCAGCTCGATGTTAGCGATACGAGCTCGGGCAGTCATAGCATTAGAAACGTTGCTCCAGCAGCTCGCATGATTGAGACCGAGGTCAAATCTGGCAGCTGGAACGAGTTCGTCAAGATATTCGCTCCGATAACAAGTGTCATGATGGCACTTACTCTGGCATATGGAGCTTCCCCAGCTGATCTACCTATCCCGGGAGGGACAGAGTTCCTCACACAGCAAATGGGGGCTCTTTTAGGAGCGGGAGACGCAGCAATGAAAGGACCCCCAAATCCGGAACAAATGGAGAAACTCATCGAGGGAGCGGCTAAAATGTCAGCCGCACAGACTGTGGAACCCAAGAACCAGGATAAGGTGCAAAGGCTGACACAAGAGCATCTTGCTCAGTTGGTGAAAGAGAGTGCCATCAAAAATGGCATGGTCTTGCCAAATGGCCTTCCGACAGTAGGCCAAAAGCGAAAGGCCGTATCTACCGTGGGGCCTCCAAGACGAACACCAATTGGTACCCAGAAGTACCCTCCCAAAGCACAAAGTGTGGCAAACCTACGAAGTACGCGAGGTCCAAGCACTGCTACCAAACAACCGGCACTTCCCTTGAAAGCAAAACCGGCACCTTCAGGCCCAATGACGACTGTGATGACCAAGTCAGGAGTTCCAATCCAAGTAGCCAAGAGCGAGGTCGAAAAAGTAAAAGGCGGCGGCGTTGTCATGACCAAATCAGGCATTCCAATTCATATCTCCAAAGGCGAGGCGGAGAAAGCGCAAAGTGGCAGAACGTTCACGACGGCATCTGGTGTTACTATCCAGGTATCTCCAAGTATCGGGAATCCAGTGAAAAGGGAGTCCAAGCCGGCGGCTTCAGGCTCTGGGCCTAAGTCTTTAGGAAAGGTCGGTCCCCAGGCGTCTCAGAAGCCGGCAGTTAAACCGACGACGAAGCCAACAATACCGAAGACGATACAGCAGAAGCCGAAAGCAAACCAAGGCTTGGCTGTCCAGAATCCTCCCGTCAGGAAGCCAGTCACAGCACCAAAGACTGCGGCGAAACCAGCTGGCTCTCAGCTGAATGGTGCTACTCCGAAGAAGCAGCCAGCCTCAACCGGCCCACCAAAGATCCAGGCCCCTAAGACTACACCTAAAAAACTAGCGACATAATGTTGTTTGTGAATGTGCTACCAAATAGCTGATGATTCTTGTATGATAATGTTTCTAGCACGGCGTTTTGGGTCATTGGGTTGATGATGTTCTAGATTAACATGGTTGCTATACGCAGCAACCATTTGGTTTGCCCGGTTATGCTACTATTCTGGAAGGGATCTATAGGGTTCGAAGTTCAAAATGAATACTACCGTCATGGGAGACAAAGATAGCTTGCCAAAATGCACATGCCACATGAAGCTATACCCCTTCCTCCGCATTTTTGAATCGTGCCTCTCTACACCACAACATCTTCACTGCAAGTTTTGATCATCATGATTCCAACGCCCTTCGCGTATAGTCCTTAAATATCGGTTGTACCACATTGAAGAGCACGTGACCACGATCCGCGCTGTGCCAATCCTCCGCACTCCACCCTTGCATCCCAGCCGCTTCGACGTCATTTGGAGGCAAGATGCAGCACTCCAGAACAGGAATCTCCAGGATGCCACAAGGCCAACCACAGATCTGTGGCGCCACTTTGTATTCCATCGAAACCGTCATTCTCTCTTCCATACTCTGTCTTTCCACATATCTCGTCATCATGGACTTCATTTCCAACATCATATCCAACAGCGTCGCTGGCTTTGTCGACGCCGGCACTCGCGCAGCTGGTGGATTCGCAGGTGATGCATTGATCAAAGCAGGGGATATCATTGAGAACACTGGACGCGGCGTTGGAACGAGTACGGCCAACAGCAAGCCTTGCGCTCTTCTCAGTCCATATATCGACAGCTAACGTGTTCTATTATAGGTGTAGAAGCCGCTGCGACAAGCTACGGCACTAAGATCGCAGGCCAGGGTGCTGTCAACAGCGTCAAGGGCAGCACACCTAAGAAGGCGATAACCGCTGGAAAGCCCGCCGGTGCGCAACGATCTTACTCAAGTCCTGCGTCTACATCCACGAAAAAGACAGCAACGCCGATTGGAGCAAATAAGTACCCTGGCGGGAAGATTGGTGGAACTCCCATCGGCGCAAACAAGAAGCACCCAGGCGGCAAGACTGGGCCGACTCCTATCGGCGCAAACAAGCACCCAGGCGGCAAGATTGGGCCGACTCCTATCGGCGCAAACAAGTACCCAGGCGGAACAAACAAGTCTCTACCTACAGTTAAGCCAGCTGCGACGAAGAAGCCTGCGTTGGCGGGTGCACCCAAGCCATATCCAAGCTCGAGCTCCAAGCCCGATGCCTCAAAGCCGAAGCCTTATCCAGGCACAACTACCTATCCATCCAAGAAGCCTTCTGGCGGAGCTTCCGCATCGAAGGAGGCGGACAAACCATACCCGGGAACGAGCACAATACCAGGGTCGGGAAAGAAGACAGCAGTAAAGGCGGGAAAGCCTAAGCCGTTGGCGTCGTCTTATACGCCGCCGAGCAAGGCCGGGGACAAGTTCAGTAGGCACTTGCCTGAGATAAAAGTCTGAATGGGTTGGGCTGGTTTAGCTATGACTATTGGGAGGAGTAGGAAATTGGTATGGTACTGGGGTTATATTGCGGATACATATATGGCGTTGGGGCACTCCTGGCAATTGTAGGAAGGTGGGAAATCTATGAGTCAAGTGGTTCTCCAATTTACAGTCTCTTGGTTTTACGTTGCAAGTCGCAAATTACTTGCCTTGTGAGGCTCACTCGACACTTGCGCTGGGTGGGAATTCAATACATGATCTGGTGGTCTAATTTGCAGTGTCTAGAACGGTAAATCTTTTCCATATTTCGACGAGCACACCGGGGCACCACATAACGTTGCAGCCATGAGAAATGTCAACGAAAGTGATATTCCAATTCACGGGTAGAGCAGTTTACATCAAACTCATTTTAGAACGCCATTTAAGGCACCTCCGACCGTAGCAGCTGAATATGTTTCATGTCCATAAACTGCGGTCTAATCTACAGCTTTCAAAACTTTACACATACACTTCAAACGATCAACCTTCCAGGGTCCTTTCAAATCGTTGCAGCCACGGGTAGTACAGCTACACATATGTTCCAATGCATAACATCACAGAATCACATTATCATAGCATGGTTATCACGCAGAGAGTAGAGATCAAGAGTATTGGGCGGGGAGGGGGGAAGAAGTCCATATTACCAAAAACAGCTACACTACGTCCTCATCATCTTCCGCATATGGCACCATTTCTCTCATTACAAGTTCACATCCTGAAAGAATCAGTAACACGGCTGACAAGAAGGGTGGCAGTAAAACTTACAAAAGCAGTAAGATTCGATAGCCACCATCCACCTGACGTGTCGCAGTAGGGGCCTAAAACCACCTCCGAACGAGTCACTCGAAAGGCAGTAAAAGAAGATCTGGTGACATTTAAAGTAATACTATGAAGGGGGAAGGGTGGTAAGACTTACAAAAGGATCGAGAGCTAGTGGCCAGCCACCCTTCACGTAGGGGCCTCAGACCGCCTCCCGACAAGCCCACTAAGGTTCGTGAAAACGTATTCTGCGAGGCTTAGCGACGAAGCTATGGAGAGAAGCAGCAGTAAGACTTACGAAAGAAACTAGGTTCATTCACCACCATCCTCCGCTCACGGTAGGGGACTATCAACCTCCTCCCGGAATCGCGGCGAAGCTCTCAGAAACGCCAGAATCCGACCGTTTCCGTTCCGAGTCGTGGCCATCCGGGCTCGAGGGGTGGAGGTGAAGTGAAGAAGAAGTAAAGGCTGACCGCTTACGCTTCGTTCCCGAGAAGACCGCGTTTCGTGGGCACCAGTCGGACGCTGAAGAGTCGAAGTGTGTCGTTTGTTGGCCACCCCAAGAGGGTGCTTTGTCACGCTGAGGGCCCCATTTCCTGAACGGAGGTGGAGAGACCGGCCGGTACCCACTCGGACTAACAAGTCGAGAATTAACGAAAAAGGGGGCGACGCGGTCAAACTTAGCTTGTTGTGCCTCCCGCTCATGACCACCCATGAGCTCGAAGTAGCCACCCGGCTTGACCTGGGACCGCTTGGCTGCTAGCTTCAACTGGCGCTCTGTAATGTTATCCTCCAAAGAGGCTATCACGTTCTCGGCTACCTTGAAGAAGTTCGCAGTTTCCTTGTCATCCCGGAAACGGGGGACGTCTTTCTGGTTGATCTTGTCGAGCTTCGGCTGCCAGCGGCCTCTCTCATCTCTCCAACACTCCAATATAGCCTCCTTACCTGGCCTCCACGCAGCGACCATGGCCGCAAATTCCAGAAGAGACTAGTGAACAGCTCGTGTCCTGCCTTGCCGTGAAACAAGGACAGGTCGAGCTGCCACATCTCATGATTAGTAGGGGGAGAAGGGGCCATACATACCTGAGAGTCCACCGTGTTCTCCCGTGCCGGCTTCCACTTGAACAGATCGCCATCTGTGTAGAAGCGGTATTCACGCGGAGGGGTTAGTATAAGACCGTCAGTCCCGTGATGGACGATCTCCATCTCCTTCAGACACTTCTCCACGTCACCTGCCGGCAGGAACTTCTTCACCGTCACCAATACTGGCATCGGAGCAGCTTTTCCTTTAAGTTCCCCCTCGAATTTTTTTGCAAAACCAAGCCTCGACGTCAACTTCTTCTGGACGATACTTGCGCCACCGTACGCGAGACAGTCGAACACAAGGAAAACGACGCCGGAAAACGTGTCATCGTTGTGAACGACTACCTCGATGTCGAGAACGACGTCATCGCAGACCTGCGCAATGGGAGTACGAGTATCAACACGGTGGAAGGAGTACTTGCGATCAACCAAGTATATTGCCTGCCCTCCTGTCCGGAAATCCTTTGTGTACCACAAGAAAGCTCGGACTCCATCCGTTTTCTCGCACACCATATACCCCGAGAGATCGCGACGCAAGTGTCCTCGAGTGAGAGACACAGGCTGCGCCCTAAGGAATTTCCTCCTCGGCTCGTGCCCGAGAATGGCCTCCAGGCCCTTGCGTAGATGCCGCGCGACACTGTGAGGCTGTAAGCGAGGGGGAGGGCAGGACTCACCTTGACCTTGACAATCCTGGCTCGCAAAGGCCAACGAAAAGGGGGTCTGTAAAAACGTCATGCCTGATATGAGCTACTGAGCGTGATCCGTGACGGCTGACATCCATGTCGAGCACCCGGGCTGGTTACCAGGTGTCTAATGGCATTCACGCATCCTACCAGGGGAATACAGCATGTGTGGTTAGCGGTTTGTCACCTAAGGTACGATCTACCGAGAGAGACCTTGACGCCGGGCACGTTGATATCCCGGACGGCGATTCGCCCCTTTTGGGTGGCTCTCTCATCACAGTCCTCCAACTAAGCACGTCACCCTTATGCCACGAGGACACTCTGAACCGCGATGGGCCCGGCTCCCCTCCAGACAGTCGCGAAGGTCCACGTTCCGGACGGTTTGGCGTGTTCGTGATTGCTTTTGCGTACCGGTTCCCACCGTTGAGCAGCTGGTTTGCCGGTTTTTGCTCTACCGGCGAAGAGATATAGTTTGTTCCATTCTGCTCTTTCGCTTCGCTCTTGGTGCGATCAAGTGTAGTAAGCTGTTGGGATAGGCTTTACGGGAGGAGTACGTACCTGGACTCGGGTTGTAACAGCTACAACCTAGGATCAACAACTCATACGGTTCACGGTCACCTACGTACAGACTTGGAGTTGCTGGCATAGTAGCTGCCTACATGCCTAGCCAGTTACAACTTCTACAGAGAGGGGTTGGGGTACGGTGGCCTACCCTGCCTAATGCTGCCTACTGCTGCCTCCAATTAGTGCTTCTGCCTATGCATACAGTCACTTCCTACGTAGTATATAGTTTGGCCTTCGGGCCCCCGAAATAAGACAGAGTTCACATCAATTTTCAACCTGAGTCCTGGTGTGATCCCCCCGAGGGGGGATGAAGGAGAGAAGGAGGAGGGCAGGTTGGAGAATATTATATAGTAAATGGGATGTGAAAATTTTACTCGGTACCGTAGTTGACAAGCTACGAGTCATTATAAAAGAAAATTCCAAGATGCAAAAACTTTTACTCATTCCGTGGTTTAAAAGCACCACTAGACTATGATAGGTTGAATTGAACAAGAGCTACGTATCAAGAACATTACAGGCTCTATTAGGAAAGAACACCAGCATGTATGGTTACGTTGCTTTAGCTGGCGATGTCAACATTTCGAAGTTCCGCCTCCGAGCACGCCTCATTCTCGAGGATGTCTCCAAAGGTGTTCCCTAAATGAACTGTAGATCGAATATACGTTGAATATGGCCTAGGTTTTGTCTTCGCCAGCTTTCCATTGTGTCTGAAACTGAAGTCCTTGAGCATTAAATATCCCACAGTGTGGAATTAGCTGAATTTGAAGAGTGAAGCTGTCCAGCTAAGAAGTATGATGATCCGCCGAGTGTATCAATAAAAGTTGAGATAGGGCGCAACAGCTTGTTAAGCGCCATGAATAACTCAAAAGCATTAGGCGTTTAATGCTACAAACGAGCAGTGATCTCTCCCCAATGTAATATCAATGGACGTAGGATTTGAGTACCTTCATTGCATGAAGCCGAAGGGCTGAAAGCTTCACACCATGCTCATCGGCTCGTGCCACGGCGAGGTGTCTCAGAACCTTCAAGACCTTTTCATGATCGTCCTAATTATGGCAGACATCTCGTCTTTGATCATTTTATAGTTCTCCAAACACAGACAAGCTCCAGTGCTCTAGCCTATTCAAGAATGGCTCACGCTCGGTAGAATCCCGAGACGGGTCCATCACCAAACCTTAATCGAATCTCATCGCAACATTTTCATGCATCACGCTCAAAGGTATCGTCCACCACTCTAAGCTTATTGTCGTTCCAGAAAGATATCAGGCTCAATACTTATCCTCATCTGCCTCGCTGCAGGGACCTGACCTTCGCTGATGAGGCAGTCCCATAAAGTTCCGTGTCAAGGTAATCTGCAAGCTTTGCAATGAGCAAAGCAGCGTACGAGTCAGACGACCCTATTCTCTACTCCTTTTGCAGAATATGTGCACAGGCCAGCGTCAGCGAACTGACCCGATCTATACAGTTGTACAGTAACTATGCCAGCCCAAGAGAGCCGCGGATAAGGGCTGCAAGATCTGTAAGGTCTTCGAATCGATGCTTCTACTATTTGCCGAGGTGTCATCACGCTCTTTAGGGTTGCTGAAGATACCGTGGTCGTTAATCAGAAAGTCACTTCGGAGCTTCCAAATCTTCGCTAGCATTGAGAAAGAGAGTTAAGTAAGAAGTACATGGGGGTACAGGTAATCATTTACTTCTTACTGTCTTAGTTCGCTATTATCATGCTTTAATTACTCCACGCGGTCTCTTCACCGCCTCTTTCGCCACAGCTTCATTCTGGCAGCTTCAGATGAGAGTATGCACACTTCGCTCACATACGTTGAGGTGATCGCCGTCAATCTCGTACTGTTTTACAAGGCCACGCGGAAGGTCAGTTCATGGAAAGAAAGTGCAAAGCCCGTGGAGAGATTCCACACTTGCAAGCCGATGGACACCAACCTTGGAGATACCTCGTCGCAAGGCTTTCAATCTCAGCTATGCTCTCCATCAAGAACACGGTCCGTGTTACTCTTCCCTGCTGTAAAGAGGTTTAAATGGATAACAGGTGTTCCTGTGTTTCTCCTTCGCATAGGCCTCGGGACTTTTCACGTCAATCATCTGGTGGAAATTTCTTGATCCTATAGGAGCTCTAGAAGAGCCGGATACCTACGCCAGAACTAGGGATATGGACTCGAGTATACCATCGAACGTGGCGTTCGAACGTTAGATGATTACTCTAATCCGATTCTAGTTATCTCCAAACTTCACTTTGCTACGGTATGAATGTGGGGCCCTTTCAGTAATAGAAACCCGTCCAAAGAAGTTCCCTGGCCCTGCCCACTATAGTAGCTCTCGCATGGCAGCATGATACGATTCCGAGAGCGTCGAGATCCTATCACCGGTCGTTGAGCATAGATCAGTGGACCGTTGTTGATCAGAGTCTAGACTGTCAATGTCAATCGCTAGCTCTATGTCAGATAAGATTGGTCTAAAGCATCAAGATTATACAACAGGGTAACGTACGTTGAGATCCTATGTCACGATGTCAAGACGTTCAGCCTCGCCAAGTTGGGCCTGAATGCTTGTCGGAAATCAAGATTCACCCTTACCATATTGGGAGCTAGCCTCCTGCACGCCGATGATCATTTGGTCATGGCTTCACGATCCCCGCCTTTTTTCAAGCGCACGTTGTTCGGCAGATCAAACCCCGACGCGACGATCTAACGTTCGGGCTAGTATTTAGCCTTGTGACGCCCTCCATCCCTTGATCCCTCCCCTCCCCGCCTCTCTGCTGTTGTTCCGCAGGTGATGCACCAATCGATTCCCTATTGCAGCATCTCCGTAGAACCACCTACAACGTTCACCTCCCCCACTTCCACAGAAGAGCCCGACCCCCACCCCGACCCCCAGGGCCAGGGCACCCATCTCTTGTGCGACTGAAATTTCGAGACGGCGGTCAGCAAGCGTTTCACTAGCGCTACCTAATCGGGCAATCCGAAGTCCCCCATTCGACGGAAAAATCACTGCTCTACTCTAGCGCGAGACCCCGCAGATCCTCGAGACGGGGTGTGCACGTTAATATAGATTAGCCTTTCTCTCTGACTCTGATCGCCGAGTTTTCAATTCGACTTCAGCTGGGCAATAATGGACGATACCGAGAAAGCTCCCGAGGCCTGGAGACGGGAAGACGCGACCGTCGAGAATGCGCAGCCTCTCATTGACCCTGACATACAGAGGAGGGTTGTGAAGAAGTTCGATCGTCATATCATTCCGCTGGTTATGGCGTTGTGTAAGACTTCCACGCGGTTCCTTGTCGATAGTGTATCTAACTCGATATCTAGATCTTCTGGCGTTCCTTGACCGGTCCAACATTGGGTAAGATGCCATGAAATAGAAGACTAGAGCAACAAACTAATCTGATTGTTGCTAAAGAAATGCTCGAATCGCCGGGATGAGTACGGACTTGGACCTGACAGGTGACCGATACGACTGGCTATTGACCATCTTCTATATCCCGTATATCATCTTCGAGTTCTTCGGCAAGTCACCCTCAGGCCAGCAGAAGAAGCACACAACCGCTAACAACTTCCCAGCCATGATGTGGAAAATCGTGCCTCCACACATGTGGTGCGCTTTCGTCGTTTTCTCATGGTAACCACCAACCACCACTCTCCCCAACCTCGCTCCTCGACTAACACTCCCAGGGGCCTCGTCTCAACCCTCCAAGCCGGCATACACACATGGGGCGCCGAAATGGCCCTCCGCTTCCTTATGGGCGCCACCGAAGCCGCCTATGGCCCCGGCATTCCTTATCTGCTTAGCTTCTTCTACCTCCGCCACGAAGTTGGCTTCCGCTGCGGCATCTTTCTCTCCGCCGCGCCTCTCGCCAACACCTTCGCAGGTGCTCTAGCGTACGGCATCACGTCCGGGCACTCGGCCATCGCAAACTGGCGCGTCCTCTTCCTCGTCGAGGGCCTGCCCACCATCGCCATGGCCGCCGTCGCCTTCTTCTTCCTCCCCGACTCGCCCGAAAAGGCCCGCTTCCTGAGCGAAGAGGAGAAGCGCGTTGCCAAAGCGCGGGGGGTATCGCAAGTCGGCGACACCCAGCGCATCGGCGGCATCGTCTGGAGAGACATCGGCGCCGTCCTGATCGACCCCAAGGCCTGGTTCACGGGGCTGATGTACTTCAGCTGCAACGTCAGCTTCTCATCGCTGCCCGTCTTCCTGCCCACGATCCTGAAGGAGATGGGCTTCTCGTCCGTCAACGCGCAGGGGCTGACCGCGCCGCCCTTCTTCGTGTCCTTCCTGCTGACCGTCGGCACGACGTACATCGCGGACCGCACGCAGCAGCGCGGATTCATGCTCATGGTGCTGACGGCGATGGGCGGTGTCGGCTACGTGATTCTGGCCACCGCGAAGAACGTGGGCGCGCGGTACTTCGGCGTGTTCCTGGCGGCCGGGGGCGTCTTTCCGGCGATTGCGAATATCTTGCCGTGGGTGTTGAGTATGCCGCCCTTCTCTTTCTCCTAGTCCACCCCTGAAGTTACACTCAGAAGCTAATTACCTTCCTTCGTTAGACAACCAAGGCTCCGATACCCGCCGCGGCGCAGGCATTGTGCTCCTCAATCTTGTCGGCCAGTGCGGTCCCCTCCTGGGCACACGCCTGTACCCCTCGAACGAAGGCCCCTTCTACCACAAGGGTCAGGCCGTGTGCGCGGCATTCATGTTCTTCACTACTTTCCTCGTCATCAGCCTGCGGACGCTGCTGGCGTGGGAGAACCGGAAGCTGGACCGGCAGTATGGGACTTTGGAGGAGCAGAAGACTAGGACGGAGCTGGCGGTGATGAGTGAGGATGGCAAGGGAGGGGCGAAGGAGGGGGCGGGACTGGAGAATTATGGGCCAACTTTCAGGTATGTTTTGTGAGTTGGGGGCATTGAGATAGGAGGGGGGTTCAGGGGAGAGTTTTCTGGTACCTGAGCGAGGTTCATGAACAGCGAGTGGTATGATGAATGCACATCTTAGCGGTATCGCTTTGGATCCTAGCAGCACCATATACACACTGGTACTATTACTCTCAGTTTGAAATGTGCATCTAAGATCATGCTTGCAGTGCATCCCATCTTGAAGAAGGGTTCTGTTTAGCATCTTTCTTTTGGTTTCTGGGCTGTTATGCCCTGTGCGGAGCAGTCAAAAAGACAGCCAGTTCACATATTTCGTGGCTCTCGGTATCTGTAAGTAAGTCAAGCAAGCACCCAGCAAGTGTTACTCACATATCAGCAGAGACTGGAAAATGGGGTATATGAAGTCTTTTCCGTATCTTCAAAATAGACACCTGGCCGTCTACTAAGGCATGAAATCTATCTGTTCCATTCGCTTCGTTCCAGACCGGATTTGTTGTCAAACGGAAATACAAAACCTTAAACCGTAGTAAAACCTCTTAATGGCCGGACATAGCGTATATCGCAGTCACCGTGAAAGTATTGGAAGCAACACAATGTTTCATTAAGGCTTGCAGCGACCGAAGTAGCGAGGGTACAAGCAACAGTCCCTGACGGTGTGCTGCTTGCATAGCCAAGCCAAGAAACGCTCTAGGCCGAGACCATAGCCGCCGTGGGGAGAGGTGCCGTACCTGAAGTGGTCAAATTAGCAATGGTTCCATTCCACGCTCAGTGAAGAGGTGTCACTTACTTCCTCTGATCCGTGTACCAGTAGTACGCCGCCGGATCTATCTTCTCTCGGTCGAACGCCGCCATAAGCTCGTCGTAGTCCCACATCCTCATAGAACCACCCACGATCTCACCAACGCCGGGCATGAGACAATCGACACTCTCCGTGACACGCGGGTCATCTTTGTCTTTAGGCATGTAGAAAGCTTTGATCTCAGCGGGGAAGTGGGTGAGGAAGATGGGGCGGTTGATGATATCGGTCATCTTGCGCTCAGCCGCTTCGGCGATGTCGTCGCCGAACTTGTGTGGTCGCGGCGCTTCGCCTTCCTCTTCGATATCGATGTTGTGTTCCACTAGCCAATCGATTGCCTCGCTGTATCTCATGCGCAAGAAAGGCCGCTCAGGCATCTTGAACTCTGGGTGGAGGTCGAGGATGTATTGCTTAGTGGTCGGATCTGAGAGGGTGACCTCGAGAACTCGGCACATGACATGCTCGAGGTGCTCCAGGAGGTCGTCAAAGGTGATGAAGTCGAGTTCCGCTTCAACGTGGGCGTACTCAGCGAGATGGCGGCGCGTTAGGGATTTCTCTGCGCGGAAGGACTTCTCGATACAGAAGACATCTCCCATGGACGGTAGACATGTCTCTAGGTACAGTTGCGAGGACTAGCACACGCTTAGCGGTTTTGGTCAACTCCATTTTGGAACGCACGCATTACCTGGGTAAGGTATGCCGTCTCGTTGTAGTAGGGCAACCCAAAGAGCGTCGCTCCACCTTCGACCTGGGTCTGGACCAGGGCCGGAGGGCTGACTTTGCGCATTCGCAGCTCCTTGTATACAGAGTTGAATGCAAATTCGACGGCATCGCGGACGATCATGACCTTCGAAGCGGTCTCTCCTCTGAGGGTAAGATGTCGCAGATCGAGAAGTGTTGCGTGATCCGTGTCTTTGGAGACTCTGTTAGTGATAGCATCGTCGCCGCCAGCGGCCTTTCCGACGATCTTATAGTAATCGGCATGAAGTTCACGGCCGTTGGGCGCATGTGCTCCTTCTGGGACCGCGCGCAGCTCTCCCAGGATCTCCATGCTCGACTCGCGGGTCAAGGTCAAGGCATCGTAGGTCTTGGCCAATTGTCCCGTGAGGATGACTTGCATAAAGCCATAGCCATCGCGCAGCGTTATGAACATGTTCTCCTTCTGCCGCCTCTCTCGGTGTACTCGTCCGAATATCCTCACTCTTGTACCCTTGACATCCTTGCCATCGCCCAGCTTGATCGTCTCTGGGTCCGTGTTGTCCAGCTTGATTCGGATTGCCTTTGGCAGGCTCTTATCTTCCTCAATCACAATCTTTTTTGCTTCATCAAGCACCTTCTTCCGGTCTGCATCCTCTTTCGACCTCTGCACGAGCAGCTCTTGTTCTCGGGCTGCTTTCTTCTGGTATTGAGCGGCATAGTTCTTGGCTTTCTTAAGAGCAGCCTTGGCCGCGGGCTTCCATTCTAACCTAGTAGCAGCATCGGAGCCTTCGGGGACGTCCCCCGAGGTGGATTTTCGGGCGAGGAATTTGGGCGAGTCGCCGTGGGTCAGGACAGCGAAGCCGAGGGTTTTGTATGGGGAGGACTCGGTGCCTTGCTGGGAGGGGGTATCTTCGCCGACATCTTCGTCGATATAGAAGGTGGGCTCGGCCATTCTGAAGCAATTGACGTGGAGTTTTTAGTGCTGTGTCGTGTGTTTGCGAAATATTTATGACGGTGTTGAAAAGGTGGGAGTCACTAGGGCGCTTGGGCCGCTTCTTTGATTAGATTACGACCTGACTCTATAGGTTCAAGGTGGCACACTGAGCGTTGGAACATGAGTCGAACTCTTCCTTAAAGTAATCTTCTGGAGAAATTGTACAAATTATCCGTGTAAAAGCGAGGTTAAGCGTGGAACTAAGTACTCAAGCTTGGGCAGCAGCGACAGTGAATGTATCGCAAAGCGCCATCTCATATTGCCCCTCATTCTGATACTGAATCGTAGGGAAATATCTGCAGTTGAGAAGGTTGAAAGACACCAAATTCTCGAAACCTCTACTGTCAATGGCGGTTGGGAGTTGCGTCTTTCCATCTAGTTCTATCTTACTCCGCGCTATTCAAAAATACTTCGTCTCTTCATATTAACAGAATCTTCTGATTCATCCTCTTCATCGTCGATCTCCAACACCACGGTCCAGGCTCAAGTCTCCGCAGCCGCCAACACTCCTCCATCACTCTCAAACCCTTCCCAGTCGTCCCTAGTGCTTGGCCTGCCGCCGATGCACTTGCTACTAAGCGTTGAAACATAGTATACTGATCCTCTGTCGCCATGCAGCCTGTTATCGTAAATGGCCAACAGGTTCGAATGAGCAGGTGGGTTGGGAGCGCTTCGAACCTCTCCAGGCAACGAGTTACGTTATGCTTGATTTCGGGTATGAGAGGAGAAAGCCCGGAGATAATGGTATGTAGGTAGACTAGAGCTGCGTAGGCGAATATCAAGTTGACTGCTTCGCTGTGTGCTTCTACACTATTAGAATCGATGGAGAGCCTGCCTTCGATTGCCCGAATACCGAGAGTAAGGCTGTTATTCAGCTTCGTAGCTCGTGCTACTAGCTGTAGTACGCTCAAATAGCCTTCTTCTGTTTGTGCATTTCTCGGTAATTGCTTTCATGATACAGCTTTGGCAACCCATCGTCTGCTGCGGTGTGAGAGAGCCATTTCTCAGTAAAGGAGCGTAGTTGAAGTGCCTGGGATCAAAAGGTGGCGGTCCATGTGTGGCATTGGCAATGATATCAACCCAGACGAAAGAGGTAATGAAATACTCAAGCGCCTTGAGATCCTGCGTTGAACATTGATTCGATAACGTCTCTCCAGCGCTCGAAACTCCTGCGTTCTCTGCGAACAGCTCAGGTGCCCACTTGTTTTGGAACATGCCCAACAAGGTACGGGCAGCTTGCAAATGCGTCTCCCAATGGCCTTCAACAAAACTGAATACTTCAAGACTCACAAGCTGGGTCATGATCGCAAGCGTTTGCATTCCTCTTTGGAAAAGCTCTTTTCCATAGTACGTCTCGGAACCCAGCTTGTCCACGTGTTGCTGTAATCTTCGTAAAGCCGCTATTTGCAACATGGCGACGTCTGAATCGAGATATGAAGCTCCGTTCTGATTGCCACCCCACATTCCAGGTTCGGTAACATCTACAGGCTCTTGGTAGACGGGCTCAGTATCAATAAGAGTAGCCAGGTCCGATCCCTAGTTTCTGACAAGCTGCGAGGCTTAAATTGAAGTGGAAAGATGACATCGAGAAAGGTCATCAGAAGTCTCATATCAGAACGTAGGGCGACATGCGTAGAAGGTAGACTACTGTCGAACCAGGCACGGTCCGCTGGAGTCGGCATTGTTGGCTCAGCTTGTGGACCCTCTATTTGGGTTTCACTAGACTCCTGCACGACTGTTATAGTCCTAAGTTGCTTCTTTCTGATGCCCTGCTCGCGCCGCCTTGATTTATACGTTGTTTCTGCACTCTCCCGGATGGACCTTGCTTCCCTAGACTCCATAACTTCTTTCCAGTTGCTCATTCCATGCATCCGTTCTGGTTTGGCACCATAACTATAGCAGAAGATTTCTCTCGAGCGGCAAGTCAAGCAGAACGGCTTCTGCTCGTCGCATTTTTTTCTTTCGGACTCTGCATGTATAGCAACCAGTCTTAGTCCGAGATCCAGACATGTAGGTGGCACGCGAGAAGGCTAAATGGGATCAACACACAAAATAAAGTTCTTGGATTAGGAAAGAGAAGGCGACTTATGCAGCTGAACAACCGTCGTGAGCAGGTAGTGTTGGAGTGTGAATTAGCTCTCATAGAAATTAAGAGGGCCTATTTATAAGCATCGACATTACCCCTTCTAGCCAATTAGAACCAATAGCAACTTACAACGACTAATGGCCAAACTGAAGACGCAGACGTTTTAACTCTACTCTTCTATGATTGTTGGGCAATGGGACAGACATTTGATGTTACAGTGATAAGCCATAAGTCTGTGCACATGCCTTTACAACGGCTCGGGGAGCCCCAAGGGGATTTCATGATTTATGCGCGATGTCAAAGTTCACACAGCGGAACCTGAGCTACCTCTTGAAAATTCGGCTTATGGCGACGGAGCTGCTCCTGACAGTGGTGACCAGCTCCCGAAAGTGGCACTCAAGCTAGTGCTGGATTGCTCTCTACGAAACAAAGCATAATATGGTCGAGGAGAGCAGTCATCCCAGAATAACCTCTTCAAACATCAAACTTTTCTCCAACCAAATCCTCGCTAAGTGCCCAAAGCTTATCCGCATTCTCCTTTCCTCGCGCCCATGGAGCCTCTTCTTTAGTTGGGACAGGTTTGCAATATTCCAAGTACGCACCGTCACTTGCTATTGTAGTATTAGTCCCAGGGGGGTGTGTGTAGGAGTCTAGGTTCTCATCTATCTTCAAGTTCAGGATCAAATGCGGCCGCAATGTATGATGACGTGCCTTGCTGGTGTGTAACAATCGCGACGGAGGATACTATGGCAATTATTAGTTTAGTTCATGATCTCCTCATTGGAATACTTACACATCGCGTGGTCTTCAGCAGTCATGTGCTTCCCAAGATTGGTGTAGATACCTGCGGGCGTCAGCTACTGTTCGTGTAGAAGGCAGCATACATACCACCGCTGACATGGAGCGAGAACGAGAAGACGTTCTTCGGTCCAAGTCTCTCCGCTAGGGCTGCTGAGAAGAGTATATTGGCGGTCTTGGACTGTGCGTAGGCTAGCCATTTGTTGTACGGCTCGGTCTTTATCGTCAGCTGAAATCGAGCTTCGATCGTTATGAAGAGGCACTTACCTCAAAGTTCGGATCGTCGAATCGGAACCCCCCGAAGTGATAGGCCGTGCTACTGACATTGACAATCCTTCCACCGCGGGGGAATTTTCCAAGGACAAGGTTAGTGAAGAGGAAAGGTCCAAGATGATTGACAGCAAACTGGCTCTCAATGCCATCAACTGTCTTCTCAAACGGAGTTGCCATGATCCCGGCGTTGTTGTTAAGGACGTCAATTTGTTCTGAATATCTGTTCACTTTCTTCGCAGCCTCACGAACGGACTCGAGACTTGCAAAATCAAAGGTCAGAAGCCTGGTTTTGGCGTCGGGTGTCTCTTTCAGAATTTCCCTCTCGGTCTCCTCAATGAGTGAGCGAGTTCTTCCAGTAAGGATGATCAAAGCTGGGTGGTGTGGTGCGATGGCCAATGCCGCTGTGGCACCCGGGCCGTTGGGGCTGCATCCTGTGATGATGATAACCTTGCCCTCGATGTAGGAAGCAAGAGCTGCGGCCACTTCGGGTCCGGTTGAGTCTTTGGTGAAGATCGGCATGTTTGATGGCGTAGACGAATAGTTTGGAAAGACGATTATGAGAATTGAGATCAGCAAAAACTTCCTACCTGAAGCTGAGGTTCAACGTGCTTTATAGTTCTATATCATAGTCCCTGAGCGGCGGACTGAGCGAAAGCTGCTATCAGCTGGGCACAATACAACCTACTCAGTAAGCAGCCACGGTGCGGTTTGACAGATAGCCGCAGTGCGATAGTGCAGGTGGCCACAACCGGAAGATGTGCCATCTTCGGTTTAGTAGATAGCATATGCTGAGGTTAATGGAGATCGCTGGGGACTGGGGACTGCCAGGCTTACTGTCTGCCCCCTGTACGGGCTGCCCACCACACAATTACAGTGTACAATCCCTTGTCGTGGGCAGCTCGTACATGGGGGGAGACCGTAGAATACCATCACGAAAAGTTATATTTTGGTGGCCGTTTGATTATGCAGCGAGCCGCACCCTTTGTAAACCTAGCAAGAATAGTTAGTTACCCACGCGGGCGACACAAAATGCCGTACAGCCTGTGGACGCATGCTGTGGTTAGCGTGCAGGTGGCTTCAAGGGCAGATTACTGTACGGTACTGGAAGTTGATGAGAGGTATGATTGGCCGGAATAGCCTTTGCAGGGTTAAAAAGCCTTTTGTTACGCAGCATTTGCGAGATATGCTAAAACAGCATGCGTCCACAGGCTGTGCACCAAACCAGCTAAATCGCTTAGATCAGCAAAAGACACCCAACAACACCACGCTCTGCGGCCGCAGAAAGCTGGAATTACTTGATAAAATGATAGAATGAATGCCACCTATTTGAGATGCTTCTTAAGATCATAATTATCGATTTTCCAGAAGTGGTTGTCTCGTGAGTTGCGGTGTAATTAATGTGCGGTTGAAGAGGTAAGTTGTTTTGGTGCACGGCTTTTTTGTCACCCGCGTATTCTAACAGGGTTTAGAGTCAAAACGCACACTCCAACGCCAAATAAGTACTAGCGGCATTGGCACGATTGGGTGCGGTTAGGCTAGCCTTAATTGCACACTGCACACTGACCAGAGCTGATTGCAGAAGCTGGCCTGCCCAGGTCTTGCCGTACGTGTGGGTTGAGGCCGCAGAACGAGCTAGGAAGGTATTCTACGTCCTAAACACTCGTATTCCGCAGCATGATCACGCGAGCATTGCAACATTTGTTGATGACACAAAGTGGAAGGAGCTCGGTCGTGGGCAATTCCGCGCTGACAAACAGCATCTTCAAGAGGGCAATATAGAAGCATCAAATTCAAGAACTTCAAGATTTATAAGACCCTCTATTTCTGAAACAAGAGAATAGCACACACTGCAGAATGTCAGATCCAAGCCTCTACCAATTTCCGTCGCCGTTGGAAGGCTTTAGAGACCTGCCTCCTCTTCCTACGTATGCATGATCATTCCATTCTGGTCGATTTGACCGTGATAATTACTCATTCACTCAAAGTGAGAGAGCCGAAGATGGAAAGTCATTCGTCAATCCGCCAGCAAAAGAGAAGAGTGCTGCGTATGAAGCTTTCCCTGGCCCAATCACTAAAGGGATCCGGGGAGGATTTGACGTCCACATCTACTTCCTCCAGACCGACGAGGAGCAAGCCAAGTTTGCGAAGGAGCTATGGGAGCGTGTTCGACGAGAGTGTACGCATGCCACTTCAGCTGAATTGCTGATTTAACTAATCTGAAACCTTTAAAAGTTCCCGAGTTGCGCATCTACCAGGTTTGGGAAAAGCCAATTGGTCCACATATAACGGTATGTAGCGCCGTTCAATTTTTTATAACTAAGCAGACACTGACCACGTGTAAAAGGGCATGTTCGAGGTCAATTTGTTCACGCCAGAGCAGTTTGGAGCTTTCATTCCTTGGTTGGTGATAAACCGCGGACCTCTCTCTGCCCTCATTCATCCAAACACTGGTGAAGATGAACGGGATCACACTCAGCGAGCCACTTGGATGGGCCAGCCATTGCCACTGCATCTCGCTCTGTTCAAGACATTGAAGAGCAACTTGAATTAGACAGAAAGAGTGGATGTAAGAGGGATCAGATGACTTGAGCCAGTGACTGATATGCACATTTGTTTTGAGCTCGAGGTTGCATACTTAGACTTATGGACAGCCTCACTTCTTGTATTGTTTAGCACATCGCGGGATATTCTTTCAATGATACCCGCAGTATACGCGTCCGCCTGCAGTCAGCCGATTTGACCAATTGTTGCCTCTTCCGTGATATGTCCCCCTTTCGTGTAGCATTATGTGATCATTCAATCATGACCATATTGGAAATCCGCCGTATTCTTCTCCTCCTTTGACGCTATGCTAAATTAATAGCGATTTGCATGTGAGCTTAGCGGAACAACGGCATCCATACCAGCCTCATCCTTTCTTCTCATCCCCCGTCTTCGCCTTCTTCCGCTTATCCTTCTTCCTCTTCGACCGGTCCCTCTTCTTCAGCGCCGACATACCCGCCTTGCAAGTCTCTGCATACCGCGCATAGAACGCATCCAGCGCATCCGGCTGAACTATCGTCGAGAACTTTATCTTCGGCTTATCCCTCCTACTACCATCCTTCGCCTTATCTTCCTTGGTGTCGCTTGCGCGGACGATTACAGGGAGAGGATTTGCGGGGTGCGTATCCCATAGTGGGTCGTCCGCGACTTTGGTGGGTGACGGCGCGGCGTCGGGGGAGAGGGCCATGCGTTTTTGTGTGAGATAGACAGAGCCATGGCCTTTTTCGCGGTTAGTGTCTAGGAGGGCTGCGAGTCTTGTGAAGAACTGGGCTGTGTTAGATTAACGATACTCGATTCAGGTCGAACTTGCAACGTGCCTCTGCGTTGGTGATGTGGCCTTCCGCCATGGTTTGGTGGTGTGACGCTAAGAAGAACTCTCCTGTATATCCATCCGTGAAGCTTTATATAGCAGGGATTGTGTGTGGTTGCTGGTGAATTGTGCTGGAAATTCGACTTTGAGGTGGGTGGGATTGCGGGGAGTTTTGTTGGAGAACGGCGGTGCTCTTGCACCTCCGACGTCGAACTTTTTTTGATCGCTTCAACACCACATTCGCAATGCGCCAACGAGAATTTCTTGGCCCAAAACTGCCAAAGGAACTGAGGGATCAGTTTGGAGGTATTTCATATGCATGCGCTTATGTCTACTGTCTTCTAACCAACGTCAAGCTTCAGGATCCACCGGGAAAGGCGGCCGAGGGCGCAATGGGCCTGGCGGACGAAAAGAGCGTCGCAAAGCCAAACGGGCGCAGAAGAAAGTGCACAAAAAGATAGGGAGCTCGAGGAGACCTGGCGCGCAGCCCCGCCATATTGCGGTATCAGAGGAGGACGAGGAGGAAAACGATAGCGACTTAGAAGAGCCCGCGCCACCTAGGCCTGTACAGAAGACGCAAAACACCACAGCGAAACCCCTCAAATCCATATTGAAACGTACCACAAAAGAGGATGTCGTCAGGAAACCCTCAAACACCACACGCTCCCCACCACCACCCCCTCGAGTACCTCGTGCTGTGAAAGAAAAGCTCGCTCAGGATGACGCCGAAATTGCGGCATTGGAGAAGAAATTGGGGATGAGAGGGAAGAAGAGAAAGAGCTCGGGTGATGACGGTCTGGAAGATTTATTTGGGGATCTGGATAGCGGTGAAGATTCAGCAGAGGAGCCCACCACCAAGAGAAAGAGACCAGAAGATCACGAATGGCTGGCAAGTAAGCGCCGAAAAGCCCTGGGGGCTGCTGCTCAAGAGACTAGCGATAGTGACTCCGATATTCTAGATGAAGAGAATATGGATGAGGATATAGATGAGGATGAGTTCTCGACTGAGGAAGAGCTTGATGAGCAATCTGATGATGGTAGTGAGGATGATTTGGAAGGCTCCGATGGTTTCGAATCCGAGGATCTACCCGAGCCTGTACAGCCTCGAGTGCGAGAGAACCCTTACGTCGCTCCCATGACTAGTAATACCTTACCAGCGGCCAAATACATACCACCCTCACTGCGTAGACCACCCTCGTCGGACGCAGAAGCGCTATCACGATTACGTCGACAAGTTCAAGGTCTCCTAAATCGACTCTCTGAAGCAAACCTGATTACAATCTTACGAGACATTGAAAAGATATACGAAAACAACCCTCGTAGTTACGTTAGTACTACGCTGATGGATCTACTCCTTGGGCTGCTCTCCGATGAAACTACGCTCAACGATACATTCCTGATCTTGCACGCGGGTTTCATCACGGCTGTATACAAAGTTGTTGGGACGGACTTTGGAGCTCAACTTGTAGAACGTATTGTGTCGGAATTTGACAGCCAATACTCAAGAAGTCAGGGCAACGACGCTGGAGGGAAACAGACTACAAATCTGATCTCGCTCATGGCTCAACTCTATAACTTTCATGTGATTGGCAGTAACCTGGTATTCGACTACATACGGCTGTTCCTTGACGAACTCTCGGACTTGAATACGGAGCTTCTTCTCAGGATCATCAAAAGTAACGTTACCCTTATTTAACCTCGTAGCTGAACATAGACTAATCTGAAAACAGTGTCTGGAGCTCAGCTCCGTCAAGATGATCCTTCTTCGCTGAAAGATATCGTCGTATTGCTTCAAAAAGCGGTAGCCAAAAGCGGGGAAGGTAACCTTTCGGTCCGTACGAAGTTTATGATAGAGAGTATCAACAATCTTAAGAACAACCGAGTCAAGACTGGAGTTGCCGCTTCTGCCGTAATCTCCGAGCACACCATACGAATGAAGAAGACACTAGGATCGTTGAACACTGGCACAATAAAAGCAAGTGAACCCCTGAGGATTGGTCTGGCCGATATCAGAGACACCGACAAGAGGGGAAAGTGGTGGCTCGTGGGCGCAAGTTGGAGGAACGATGGCGAGCAGGCAGATTTAGAGACCTTAAAGTCCCGAGCATCCAAAGAGACAACGCAGATCATATCCTCAGAGGGCGATGGCACTACCAATCTTCTACAACTCGCCAGGGAACATCGGATGAACACCGACATTCGACGCGCTATCTTTGTGACCATCATGTCTGCAACAGACTTCAAAGATGCGCACGTAAGAATACTGAATTTAAGGCTAAAACGAGCCCAGGAGCCTGAGATAGCACGAGTACTGATCCACTGTGCCGGGAGTGAACAAAGCTACAATCCTTACTACACACTGATCGCCCGGAAAGTCTGCACGGACCGCGGTGTAAAAAAGTCTTTCCAGTTCGCCCTATGGGATATCTTCAAGAGTCTGGGCGAGAAGAAAGATGGCGAAGCTGATCAAGAGGACGAAGGCGATGAGAGCATGACAACTAGAAAGATTGCAAATCTTGGGAGGATGTTTGGAGAACTGATTGCCAACGGCAGAGTCCCCCTAACGTCACTGAAGGTAAATGTTCGTTCTAATTCAAATTAAGCCAAGTAGCTAATATGCTGCTAGATCCTCAACTTCACCTACCTCCAGCCGAAAACGAAAACATTCGTGGAAGTCTTGCTCAATACCGTCATCCTACAGTCCCAGAAGCATGCCGCCGATCAAAGAGACGAGAAAGGACTGCTCGATATATTCAGTAAAGTCGGAGAAGCTCCTCAGATGGCTCGCGGTCTCCAGTACTTCCTCAAGAAGGTTGTTGGTAAAGGCGAAATAGCCGGCAATATATCGGAGAGGGAGACTGTTCGATGGGCTTGTAAGGTGGTAGTCGAAGCGCTGACAGTTATCGCCACGGGGAAGGTGAAGGAATGACGGAGTCATGTCGCACAGCGCCACTCGTGGAAGATACCAATAAAGCGTTCTATATCAGTAATATGATATTCAAAAGTCGCGCACTAATAAAGGTCGAGTACGGAGTATCATTCGGGTCAATGCGAGCGTGAATTACAGCCGCCACTTGCCGCAGGTTAGGGGACGGTAAAATGACCGCACTTGTCACCCAAACAGAGTGAAGCTTGAATGTTAATACGACCAACAATTTAACGGGGAGAATATGTTGAGCTTCAGATAGCTTGAATGAGACTACTATTACTGAAATACGTACTGCTGGAACGTTCTTCCGAGTGCGTCAAGATGCAAATGTCTCAAGGCGAATTGTGTTGCTAAGCGTCCCCCGTTTTACCTGCTCCCGGCTGAAGGCGATCTCGCCGGCTCTCCGAAAAGTTGTCGTCCGGAGCTCCAAACACATAGCCACGGTCACCACCTTCATCAATTGATCCCTTCCAATCCACTAGCCGTAAGAATCGCGGCTCTTCCTCTCCTCTTTCCGTCCCTGCCCTCTCCCTTCACTCGTCATGTTCCGTTCCATGGTCCCCCGGGCTGCCCCCAGGTCGCTATTGCGTCCCGTCGGTGGCGCCCAGAGCAGCATTCGCCCTTCAGCATTCTACATGCTGGACCGTTCAAGGAGGGGTTATGCTACAGAAGCTGGTAAGGCGCATATTCCGAAGCTTTTCCATGTGCACCGGCTGATCATCTCGCAGAGGAGAAGGACCTCGTCATCATCGGCGGAGGTGTCGCGGGATACGTCGCAGCTATCAAGGCTGGACAAGCAGGCCTCAAGGTATTCGCACTGTCCCGATCGCATCCTCTCGAAGCTAATGTATTTCCGCGTAGGTTGCGTGTATAGAGAAGCGTGGCGCGTTGGGAGGAACATGCCTCAACGTCGGCTGCATCCCCTCGAAATCTCTCCTCAACAACTCGCATATGTACCACTCCATCCTCCACGACACGAAGAACCGTGGAATCGACGTCGGCGATGTGAAGCTCAATCTGGCACAGATGATGAAGGCGAAGGAGACATCGGTGTCGGGTCTGACCAAGGGTATCGAATTCCTGTTCAAGAAAAACAACGTCGAATACATCAAGGGCACCGGAGCGTTTACGGATGAACACACTATCGCAGTCAACCTGCTCGATGGCGGGGAGACCTCTGTTAAGGCAAAAAACATCATCATTGCCACCGGCAGTGAAGCTACACCGTTCCCCGGTCTGACTATCGACGAGGAGAAGATTATCACAAGCACAGGCGCAATCGCACTACAAAGGGTCCCAAAGAAGATGGTCGTCATCGGAGGTGGCATCATCGGTCTCGAGATGGTGAGTCGCAACTGGGAGCACTTGGGAATGTTCTTTACTAATGGTCGATAGGGTTCGGTTTGGTCTCGACTCGGCGCTGAAGTCACGGTTGTCGAATTCTTGGGCCAGATTGGAGGGCCTGGCATGGACAATGAAATCGCTAAGTTGACGCAGAAGCTTCTCACCAAGCAGGGTATGAAGTTCAAGCTCAACACCAAGGTCATGGGCGGTGACGACAGCGGCGAGACCGTGAAGATCAATGTTGAGGCTGCCAAGGGCGGTAAAGAGGAGCTGGTAAGAGAGAACGTTGCCCAATTTCGGAAGACGCATAGCTTACGAAACTACTAGCTCGATGCCGATGTTGTCCTCGTTGCCATTGGTCGTCGCCCATACACTGCTGGCCTGAACTTTGAGAAGATTGGCGTAGAGGCCGACGATAAGGGACGCCTTGTAATCGATCAGGAATTCCGCACAAAGATCCCGCATATCCGAGTCATTGGTGACTGCACATTCGGGCCAATGTTGGCTCATAAGGCTGAAGAGGAGGGTGTTGCTGCCGTCGAGTTCATTACGAAGGGCTATGGACATGTCAACTATGGAGCTATCCCGTCCGTCATGTACTCTCATCCCGAGGTTGCTTGGGTTGGCCAGAACGAGCAAGAGCTGAAGGCTGCGGGCGTCAAATACAAGACCGGCTCATTCCCCTTCTCCGCGAACTCGAGAGCGAAGACGAACCTGGACACGGAGGGTCTTGTGAAGTTCCTCGCGGACGCCGAGACAGACCGGATATTGGGTGTTCACATTGTTGGACCGAATGCTGGAGAGATGATTGCCGAGGCCACCCTTGCTCTGGAATACGGCGCAAGCTGCGAAGGTATGTTTGTTCTACGACTCTTGTATATGTCGTTACTAACTTATTTAAAGACGTTGCCCGTACATCACATGCGCACCCTACGCTCAGCGAGGCCTTCAAGGAGGCAGCAATGGCGACTTACGACAAAGCAATTCACTACTAGGGGCTTGGGTTTAATTAGGGTTTCCATTTTTGGCATCAGCGCATGTTACTGAGCTCCAGACGGAGTTTGTGAATATCAATCGTGTACGATAGACAGCGGCTGCTTCCGCAGAGGAAACAGCATATACATTGGATTCGAATTCACAATTATGGCTGAAGGTGTGGCAGGATGCTTACATAATGTGATTTCTTACAAGGGTAGCGCGTATTTCGCGCCCTGGTGAACTTCGCGATCAACACGCGACCTCCGATCCTACACTCCGAACCAAAATGCCCACCACCAACGCCGATCCGAACGACCGCTGCAATACTCTAAAGCAGGAGCTCAAGCTGTGGGAGAAGGATTTTGCTGCTGCACATAATGGCCGCAAAGCTGGCCGCCTGGACATAAAAGCGAACGCGAGCATTTGTACGTCGGCATGCACATATCTTCGAGACTTCTGCTTACTAGAACACAGCACAGAAATACAAGGAGTATAACAAGCTCCGAGATGTTCTGGCGGGCAAGGCCGACCCACAAACGCCCTCGAAAGCCCCGCGAAAACGCAAAGCGATTGACGGTGATGTCCGAACTCCCTCGAAGCCGCTCTTCAAACCCGCTACCACCCCCGCAAGACACGAGCAAGTAGAGAATGCAGACCCTGCGAATGTCCCTGGATCGGCCTCAATCCTCTTCACGCCAGTACATGTTCGTTCGAAGATCGGACCTACCCCGCAGAAGGATGGACTGGTTCTCGGTCTCTTCGATCTGCTCCCCTCGGAAACACCGATCAAAGCGCAAAGGACAGTTTTGGGTGACGTGGGAACAAACGTGATGCAGACACCGAGTAAGAGCCACAGTGGAACCGAAGACGCGCTGTCGGTTGAGGAGCGGGCGCGAGGAAGCAGGACGCCACTTTCTGCAGGGAAGAGGTTCTTGCTAGACAAGTTCGCGACACCGAAGAAGCGGAAGCGGGATGAGGAGGGCACGCCATCTTCGACGATGAAGCACTGCTCGACACCAATGTTCCTGCGACGCGATACTAGGCCGCTTGATATGATTGCTGAGGAGGACGAATCGACGCCGCGACCTGCGCCGTGGAAGCGGAGAGGACTTGGAAGGAGTCTGAGTAGTATGATACAGAATCTGAAGAACCAGGAGAAGGAAAGAGTTGAGGAGGCGAAGAGGGAGGAAGAGGAGGCGGAGAGGCAAGAAGAGGACAGGCTAGATGAAGAGTTAGAGATGATGCGGGAGATGGAGATGGAGGCTGCGGGTATTTCAATACCTAAAGCGAAACCTGCTCCGAAGGTTCTAGTCGAGGATAGTCAGGTTCCCATGAAGCTTGGCCCTGACGCATTAGAAGAATCGGATCAAGATGAGACACAGCAGGAACTAGGTGCACTAGATAGGAACGGGAATCCTCGTAAAGCGTACAAGAAGAGGGGACAGAAGCGGACCACGAGAAGAGTGAACAGTAAGTATTATGGTTGTGTATAGGCAGAAAGATTTTCTAACATCAAACAGTGCGCCCAGTTGCTGCCAAACGCAAGTCCAAGTCTCCTGAACCGGCTGTGCAAGATGACTCGGATAGTCCAGATGCCATCACAGACACACAAACGAACGAGAGCCCAGAAAACAAGGGCTCTGCGGATGAATTCGGAGGAGAGTCGTCAGACGACGGCGGCGCCTCAGACTTCAGTAACGACTCTCATACCCCTAAGAAGAGGAAGACTCGACACGCAAAGGCCAAGGATCCACTGAAACCCAAAGCTAAGACAGAGACGAAAGCTGCTCCAGCCCAGAAGGGGACAAATGCAGTCAGTAAAGCTGTCCGGAAAGCGGGCGCTACGATGAATGCGAATTATCGTAGGCTAAAGATCAAGGGGAAGGACCAGCAAAAGGGAGGCAAAGGTCGCTTTGGACGAAGGAGATAGACTAGATAGAGATCTAATAGAACTCTGTCCATATGTCACTATGCTTCATGCTATCCGGGGTGGCCCAGTTAGACATCAGGCTGCTCACACAGATGTTTTACACTATACTATGATGCTCTCAAATATGTTAGAGCGCACCAAACAGTGATACAGAAATTCATACAGACCTATGACAAGGCTGTGTAAGTTGAATATAGATATCCAATGGTGGAAATGAGAACCTGTGACCAAGTCATCTGCCTGCCACAGCAAGGGGAACTTGAGATTAGGCAGAGTCTGAGCTGGAAAGAAACCTTTAAGAACGTTGAAGTACCCTCCTCTTGTAGCCCCTGTAGTATCGCAAAATGAATAGAGCATTCATCCGCCACCGCATATTCGAAGGTTGTGGTTTGCCATGGATCTCGCTGGGCCAAAGGTCCGAGCGTTCGAGCATCACTGCATCGTTACCACCACGTCCGATTCAAGCTCGAACAAACCCGCCCACAGCAACTTCATCACAACCTCACTCCGTCTCGCACTCCTCTTCTACAACTGTGAACTCTCACCTCCCTCCGCCTACTCAACCGAATCTCCTCGCACCCGCCGAAATGGCCGACCACGAGCTCCGCGAGACGCTCAAGCAGCTCCACGGCTGCCTCCAATCCCACAAATACTCCTCGGCGCCATCGCTGCTCTCGCGCGCCAAACTCGCCCTCCTGCACCTCAACGCCCTGATCCCCGCGCCCACGACGCCGCGGCCGCACCTGCTTGCGGCCCGCGAAACCCTCGAGCTGGGCGCCCTGCTCAGCATTCGGCTCAAGGACCCGGAGAGCTTCACGCGCTACTTCCAGCAGCTGCAGCCGTTCTACGCACTGCCCACCTCTGTGCTGCCGAAGGATGGGGCGAGCCAGGCGAGCAAGATCACGGGCCTGTATCTGCTGCTGCTGCTGAGCGACGGCGACTACGCGGGGTTCCACACGACGCTGGAGGGGCTGGAGGTCGCGGCGGGGATCCAGGGGGCCGCGGCTGGGGGCAAGGGCGGGAAGGGGCTAGAGGACGATGTGTTTATCCAGTATCCGATACGGCTAGAGCAGGCGCTGATGGAGGGGAGCTATGATCGGGTTTGGGGGGAGACGAAGAGTGAGAGGGTGCCGGCGGAGGAGTTTGGGCTGTTTTCTGAGGTATGTGTGCTGGAAGCATGGCGCTCTACTTTGTGTACTAGGTCGTTTTCTTGGGTCTGGCGGGTAGAGAGGTGGTATTTCATGAGGACAAGGCTAACATTTCATTTCACAGGTCCTCATCGGCACAATCCGCAAGGAAATCGCCTCCTGCTCCGAGAAAGCCTATCCATCCATCCCCGTTTCAGATGCCAAGAGCCTCCTCTTCCTCGACAGCGAAGGCAGTGTAGTCAAGTTTGCGCATGAGCTGGGCTGGGTAGTCAAAGACAGCCGGATATACTTCCCCCAGCAGGCCGAGGAGATGCTAGGGCTGGAACGCGATATCCTCGTCACAAGCGACCAAGTTATCGAGAATACGCTAGGATATGCAAGGGAGCTGGAGACGATCGTGTAGGGGGTTGGAGAGGGGAGATGCTGCCGGTAATGGATGCAGTTGCTGTAACATAGACATGGCTCGGGATGGCACTGGACAGCGGGCGTTACGGCCAAGCTTTAGATGAATCAAAAAGAACATCTTGAACTCAACCCTGCGGCATTTCATTGTCTCTGGTGTGCACCTCGGACAGTGGTAGAGCTTTTTCGATCTCATATTTTCAACGCCTGATTCATCGTGCCTTGGTTTTCACCTCTTCTCAAGTTTTGATTCTTACCCTTCTTCACTACGCGAAATCCGTAAGTCCCTAAATCAGACCAGGAATCACAGTCAAATCTCACCATGTTGACATGTATAAACGGGAGCCAGTCCGTGCGATTTAGACTTATTTTTGGCATGTTATTGCTACACACACTGAAATAGACCATGGATTCGGGGTTACTGTCAGCCTGTGTGATGGATGAATGGGATCGAGTCCGGATTAGTATCCGTAGATGAAAACCTTGTAATTTGAGCGATGATTTAGATTGTTGGACTTTTGAACCCCTTCCTGGGCTCTGTTTCACACCTCTTCGGTAATGTGCAAGGCAGGACATTATAAATTGGGTCCATGAAATTAGGCTGATTTAGCACTGTTCAGATGTACAAACGGGAGCCAGTCCGTGCGATTTGCACTCGCTTTTGGCATGTTATTGACATGGCTCGGGAATCAGGCCATGGACTCGGTGTATTTGGCGTCGTGGAGAAGTTTTAGGGGGAGCAAGTCCGCGCAAATTGTCTTGGTCTGTCAGTCTGTGGCCGTAAATGAGACCTTATGTGTGTGTCGATTATGCAGCATTGAGATATCTGATATTTCCTAATCTCTCTAATGATCTTTATACAGCGTACATATGATACAACAATCCACTCAACCCCCAGCCTTAGCTGACGCTCCAAACTCAAGCCCCGACTGCTGGTATTCCCAAAACATAAACGCCATCCCATGCTTTTCCCACCCCCGTCTCCTACGGCACTACCACAACCCCAATACTGGCCGCCTGCGCCACGACACACTTCGCCAAACTCTCCAGCCCCATCACACTCAACCGCGTCTCGCTCTGCTTAATCTTCGCAATCTCGTAGATGTGCTTCAAGCTCACGCTCCCCACGGTCCCGACCACCGCATTGCCGACCGTCGGCGAGGCAGAGGTTTGCTTCCCCCGCGCGCCTTCCGCGTTGTTCATCGGCCCCGGCACGTTGCCGGCGCCCTTGATCTTGTTCTTGGTGGGCATCACGCCCGCGGCCGTCAGGAGGAGGGTCGCGGTGGGCGGCGTGCGCAGCTCGAAGTGGAAGGAGCGGTCCGGGCGGACGGTGACGCGCGCGGGGATGGGGGTACCGAGGGTGTAGTGGGCGGTGCGGGCGTTAAATTCCTGGGGCGGATGTTAGAATTTGAGGCTTGGGAGGGTTGGGAGCTGGAAGACGAGTTGAGAGGATGCGATTGAGGCTCGGCCAATCAATAGCTTTTGAAGATGGTTTATAGTTGAGGAGAGAGGACAATGAGTGACAGACGTGAAGTGAGTGAGTCGAAATGAAATGAAAGGGAAGAGCTTACTTTACAGAAATCCATGCTCTTCACACCTTTACTTCCTAGTGCGGGACCGACGGGCGGCGAGGGCGACGCTTGGCCTGCGCCCACGATGAGTTTGACAATCTGGTCTTTGGCGAGGGCTTTCTTCGCCATGGCGAGGGGTGTGTACGGTGGGTTGCAATGGGGTATCGTTCGTTGCGTTTTGAGGAGAGGTTCGGAGGAGCAGAGCCGCATGGAGAATAGAATCGCCGACAGCACGTGATCTCTCCCCAACTCTCATTGAACCCTCAACATTTTCGAGCACATTCGTATGTTAATATTCAAGTCTTGTGTAGACGAAGGTAGAACATGTGTAATTAGACTGTTCAAGTGTCTGAACACTATCTTATATTGATTCAAAAGCATCCCTCTGATTCGCTTCCAACAATCATACGAGTGTGCTGCAACTAGAATGCTCGCAAAGCCTTAAAGCTGTAACCTACATGTGTTTCCTTCCCATCCCATTCCATCCCATCCCATCCCATCCCAGCTTAGTGCAATATCAAGACATATCCCCAGCTAACGCCAAAACAGCCCTGCCCAACCTCATCCCGGTCGTTCGCCTCGTTCCTCCAAGATCAAATCGTACACCGTAGCCCTTCCTTTTAAAGCTACGAGAACCCATAAATACCCCCTTGCTCCTGGAATTTTAATTGATACTCTCTCAAGTCCGCCCAATGCCTGAGCTCTGTCTCATCGTCCACCGCCTGGTTCGGGTCCGCGCTCTGCGGACTGACCCGCTCTAGCTTACTGAGAATGTCGAGGAATTTGTACAGATACTCCTCGTGTTGGAGCGCAATCGAGCCCTTTCGATTTTTTGGTACATCAAGAAGTGTCGAGGCAATCTGGCGGATTTTTTGGGTCTAGAATCTATCATAAGCAATTTGAGGGTTTGAGAAGGGGATGGGCAGGGGAATACGTACGAAACTATCCGCGTTAGGCTCCATATTGACCAAATCAATGCTTCCAAGCACCAGCATCAAATCCTTGATAACGTTCTCGCGCTCTGCCGCCATTTCTTGCTCTAGAGAGTCATATTCCCCCGTCGGAGCAGGAAGCAGACTATCAAAACCCGACGCCAGCGCGCCCGGCGAATTGAACTGGCTCCTTGGCTTGCGGGAGTTCTCCAAGTAAATGAAATACTTCTCTACAAGGTACGAGCGGCTGCTTAGATGACTGACGTATATGTTCGCCTTCTCGATCTCAAACTGCACTGAGCGTCTTCCCTCAACCGAGCCCTCGTGATCGAATTCTACGAGCGCCCGGTCTCTAGCGCTCATGTATTCCGGCATTGGGGGATAATAAGGCTGTTTTCGTTGACCGAACCGTCCGTCTTTGGTGTCCTTTGGTAAGACTCGTAGAACTTCGGGTATTCCTTCCAGAGCTCGCTTGCAAGTCTGCAACGAGTGGTCGATAATTCGTTTCTGCCGCTCCCAATCAAATATCTCGCCCATACCAAAGGCCATTTCCATGGTCGAAAGGATGGAATACGAGTTATAAATACGCACGTTTGCGATGAATCCAGTCATTAGCGAAGGTATACCTTCTGGTTGTGGTGATATGTAGGCTGGGAAGATGTACTGATCATCTACCTCTGCGGGCAAGGGAGGAAGCACCTCACTCGGGGTTTGCGGTAGAATAGTTAGCTCACCAAAGGAAGCTCCAAATTGCTGCATAGTCCTGAAGTACGCAGTCTTGTTAGTGAACCTTCTATATAGATCAGAGGTTGTTGGGAGTGCTTACCGTACGCCTACAAACATAGTCCAAAAGATTCTTCGGCCCATCTGCTCCGTGATCTTATCAACCAATTCGTCTCTTGGCCCCTCAGGACTCTGTCCATTCGCTCCGAGAACCGCTGGAAGCGCACCCAGCTCCGATTGCCCTGGTCCTTTGGCTTTATGAAGCCCCAGCGATCGAAGAATAGTGAAACACTCTCCAAAGTAAAGCCGACACGGCCTCCACTGGAATGTGTACGCTCCTGTCAATGCGAGGAAGTAGCTGGTGCACGCGTCGTAAACATTCAAGCCAGGTCGATCCAGGTATCCAGGTCCCCGCGCCTGGGCGCATACTTCTCGACACTTGTCCACAAGAGCCAGATGGGTAGGAAAGTGGTCCTTTGTTTGGGTCTTGAGATGTAATCGTGGTTTCCGTGGGAAAGAAGCCACTAGTACTGCGATCATTGAAGCCAGCAAGGCTAGAAACGCTGGGTTCGTGTAGTCCTCTCGCCGTCCCCATGCTTCTCGGAACGACGGTTCATGTGGAAACGGACAGAGCGGATGAATGTAAGTGAAGAAGTCATCTATCAAGGCATGAACCGTGGGGAGTGAGCAGATGGACTCGGCAGACAGGTGGGTTGGATGAGATGACAGTTGAGCCAACGCGTGGGCGGCATTTGTCGGAGACGAGGGCGTCGATGGTCCTGACAGGTGTTCCGACCCTCCTCCCTCCAAGCGCCTCTTCTTTATTGCTTCTGCGTGACGATTAGGAGGACCTCTCCTCCGGCTTGGTCGATCGAATGTGCAGGGGATCTCTAGAGCTGCGCAAGCTTTACATGGCGGTCCAGATTCATCACACTGCCAACAACGTCAGCATTTACTCTATAGAGCTGAAATGCACCTCATGCTACAGCTTGGGCGGCTTTTCGCAATATGGCGCAGCGGGGCTCTAGCATACCTTCACTTTCCGGATGCTGCATGAATCGCATGCCTTGCGCAACCTATTAGGCTTCGAATTGTGCGCGTCTCCTACATTCTGGAGTATGTTTCGCTGGTCTGTCAAGGCATGGTTTGCCTGATTGGCTTGTTGTTGTAGGACATCGCTCAACGATTCAATCTTGGGGAAGATGTTCTGGTTGAGCTGTGAACTGTAGTGCATCTGCGGTTGGTGGCCATTTTCCAGCTGGGAGCTCGGCGCTGCTGGGTATATAGGCGCGTAGTGGGTGTCTTCGGCCTGGGGAGGAGGAGGGTAGGATGACATGGGCCCGTTCTATTAGAATTGCCAGTTGGTACTATGTATATAGCGGCGGAGCTATGGAGCACGGCAAGAAGTGGTGAGGGCAGCAAGGCGCGACTTCGGCGGATGGCTAGTGTGGTTATGGAGGTGAATTGGCATGGGCGGGCGTCGAGGCAAATGGTCGCATGTTCGGGCGCGTGGTTGAAGTGGTTTGCGACAGGATTCGTTGATGAAGTCGAGATGCGTGCTCGTGAAAGGCCGGCGGGAGCTGGCGTTCTGGGATTGCTTGGCATGCATAAGACCCCTCACAATTCTGTGTTTTAACGACTCAGAGCCAGGTTGGAGGAACGATATAGCTATTGGTGAATACTATATGGAGACCTTCAGCACTCTCATCAAACTGCTGGCCGCTAAGCCTGCATAATGTAGATTTGTGTATCCCGAGCGTTGTCAGTTCAGTCTCCCGCTCTGCTGTACGTCACCCATGCATATCATCAAATTCTAATTTATGAATCGCATTTGATCGGTTGACCAGGCCTCTTACTTTACTTTTTTGTTAGCTATTCTCGATGCCAGTGCTGTTTCAAGTGGTAATGGTCAATTTCACAAAAGAAAGAGCGGGATAAGTAGCCTCGTAGTAAAGTGCTAGAGGGCTTCAGGCCCCCTCAATACTATGAGACTCGCAATGCTACACATGGAAAATAGAATATGCCCCACCAACCCAGTACTAACGCCTTAATCCAAGAATGAGGAAAGTCTCTCGTCATACCAATGATGTCCGAAACGCCCAACCATGCGCAATGAAAACCATCGCTTCCGTGCCTAGAGAGCAAAGGGAATTGGAAAGGGGACGTAAGGAACCGATCTGTAGACGCGTAAGCTGTTATCTGTTGCTAGTAGTTGTCCTACGACGCTTGCACTGTAGAAGCTACGGGAGCCGAGGGCATGAGCTCGATTTGCCGGATCAAGAAACTCTTCTCGTCGGTGAACTGGTCGTCTTCCGTTCTGTCTTCGAGGAAGGTAGGGAGAAAGCGGAGGAGCTTGTCGCGGTTGCTTATCAGGATGCGCTGGACTGCAACTGATTTGTTGGGATTGGCTACGAAGACCTGTGAAAGGGTGAGATGGTGGACACATGGTAGAGAATCTGAATATATCAGAGAGAAACGAACCTTGAAAACGTGAAACCCCTCGTAGTTAATCATGCGCCTATCGTCTCGTAATAGCTTCATGATGATCTTCAAATGGTCTCCTGAATCGACGTAGGTCGTCATGACGTTGTAATTTGAGCGGTCGAGCAGAATCTCCCCCAGCAACTTGATGGACTGGCGCTTGGTGACGTAGCTCTCCGATTGGACGAGGACGTCGTTGTATTTTGCGAAAAATAGGGTGAAGTTAACTTGTAGGAAATTTGAAATCAACGATTTGTGCCTAGTGAGAATTTCCTAGTAATGAATACTCAATTAGCATGGACATTCTGCGACGCTATGTAAGAATAATGATGGGACCTACCCTGAAGGTATTGAATGCATCCGCACTGACTTCGAATGCACCTTTGTCTATCCAGTCGAAAAACCTCCAAAAGATGCCTTGTCCTGTCGACGGCACACCAGGATCTATGGTGCTCAGCTCTCGGACCTTTCCATCCGGAGTAGGTTCGTCGTAGAGTATGAGGGCCGCAATTGCATCGAATTTGAGAGCCTCTCGGAGAACACCCCCGCACGGCATTGCGCTTTCCCTCCGATCATACCCTTTGCACAGTGATATTATGACCTCAGGCCGGTATCTTATGACATTGTGGAGGACTGGGGGCTCAGGGGCGTTGGCCCCAGGGGGCTTGTATCGGAAAGCGGTGGAGAAGATGACTTGGGTGTCCTTCCGAGACTCGAAGGGGAACTTGTAGATGTTGTCCGCCAGTAGCATTATGAGATCTTGACTTTCGATTTCTCGAACGAGGGCTTCTTGGACTTCCGGGCTGACTTCCGCCTCTGCTTTTGTCAGCGTAAGTCGAATGGCAAGTGGGTCAAGGGATTGGGGATAGGAGGGGAAGTCTAATAAATGGCAAGTATGATGAAAAATTGCATAAAGTACCGGGCGTGCCTTGGATCATTATCTTCATCTGTGCCAGATTTCGAGCGAGCTCCTCCTCCGTCTGCAGTCTCACATTAGCCCGCATTCCCAGCTTTGGGCCAAGAGCATCACCTTTGGATTCGGTTTCTCTTCTGCCGCCAGCCTTTGCACCAGCTCCCGCGTTGACCTCGTCAGCTCTATCGAGCTCTTCTGCTTGTTCCTGAAGAAAAAGGCCATTGTGTCGGACGACGCTGTCGAAGAGGTGCGGGGTTCGAGGGTCTTGTTTGAGGTTGGTAGGTACGCTGAATGCAGCCGTTCGCTCGAGCTGCTACCTGGCAGACCGAGACATACGATATGCTATGAATCTTGATCTCTCGGGGAGAAGGGTAAGACGGGGGGCGTGGGGTGTTATCGTTTTGAGCAATTGTTGTGACAGCTGCACTTTTGACATGGAAACCTTGCAGGTGTTGTTGGCCCAGGGTCTAGCGTCGTTCCATGGTCGAGCAGGGGGCCAATGAGGTCACGGAAGGGGAAAATGCACCAGCACCGCACCAATACTTCGTATTGCAGTGCAAGCTGTCCATAATTAACTTGCTCTGGGGGAGGTGTCGCCACTCCAATGAATCATTTGATTGTTCAGTATTTGTAGGGTGGGGGCTTTTGCCAACCTCAGCTTTGCATCGTGATGCAAGACCTCGGAAAAGCATCTAAATACAGACGGACTCTTCGCAATCGAGGTAGCCGCCTTCATCAAGTTATCGTTTGGAAGCGCCATAGTAAAACTATGGATGTTTATGTCTAGGCAAGATTGATGATGCTCTATGTGAGCTCCTCTTCCAGGTCCACTCCTAGTCCACCAATAGGTGGAAACGTCTCTTAGTACAGAAGTCCAGGGATCGAAAATATGGAGAAAAGAAGGGTCCATTTTGACGGCACGTGCCGGTATCATATGCTAATATATAAATTGTAGGGTTGATGCGACTTCCTAAATGCAATCTTCACCCGTGTCATGCTCCCGTCACACCATAAAGTAAGGATGTTGAAGTGCCTGTCATTTGAAGTCAGCCTTAGACGCAATTGTTAGCGAGGGAACGCGTACCTGTGCTGCAGTCATCCGCGACCCACTCTCGTATTTCACCAGTTGGCTGACCAAGTTAAGTTCAGTCTCCGAAGCTCCAGGTACGAGTTTAGACCAAGGCTGCGGTTCATACTCATAGAATTGCATCTTACCCCAGTCGTGGAATTTTTCAGCTTCCTGTCATAATCACAGATTAGTACGTGATCAGTACAGGGTGTAAACCATATCGTACCGGCCAGACTGTCAGATTAGGGGTACCGAGTTTCTTGAAGATACTTTGTATCAGTGCCAGCTCACTCCCAAGGTCTCCTGCGTCGAATAGGGTTTCATGGTCAGCATTCATGGCCTCAGCCGCTGTGCATCCTGCAGCCCAGAGGTCTAGACTGCTCCCGTATTTGCAATTGCCAAAAAGTAATTCCGGTGGTCTGTAGCATGTCGTGCCCACGTCGGTGATCTTCTTGTCCGCAGGCTCGGATGCGGGGGCTTTGTCCTGCCAGGAAATCCCGAAATCACCAAGGTATGCGGGCCCCGAGAGCGATTTGAGCAAAATATTTGAAGGCTTCACATCACGATGAATGATGCCTTGGGAGTGGATATGAGCAAGAGCTGAAAACATGTTCTTGAGACAACCTTTGATTTGCTGTTCTGACAGCATTCGCTTTTGAAGAGCCTGGTCGAAGTCATATGGCATGAATGGAAACACCAGCACTAATCGGCCGCCAGGCTGCTGGAAGGTTTCTAGTAGCGGGAGCACGTGTGAAGAATGCGCTTCCCTGAGTATGTGTGTCTCTCGTATAGAATCGTGAGGGGGGGTCATGGCCGAAGGCTCCGTGACCTTGAGAGCCACGATACGCCCAGATGTGCCATTGTCGTCCGGAGACGCAGCTTTGTACACGACCGAGAATAGTCCATCCTGGTAGTGAGTGGCATTTTTGTACTTTCCAATTTCAATGCCCACTGGAGACAAAGATTGGTCCGCACTTGCGGACTCCTGATGGGCATGAGTGAGTGAAATCGCGTTAATTGTACGCGATGATGTGGTACCTCGTCGGCAGGGCCCTGCTTGGCTTTTGAGAGAAGCTCGTGGACTATTTCTGCACAACGCGAATGATACACGGCCTCGAGTCAGGTTAGAACTCCGGCCTGTTGTATGAATGCTCCATAAGTATGGTTAGACGCTCACCAAGGATGTTGCGGCGTCGAAAGCTTCAGTTTCGCGGGCCGTCGAATCTCGCCGAGCGTCCAGTGGTGTGATGGCAGGATCCAGTGCCCGGTATGCAGAGCTTCTATCAAATCGAGACACGTCAGAAACGACACGATTGGCACATAGTTGACACGGAGGATTGTTCAAGGGAAATAAGAGCTGCAGGGACAGTCGAGGGACAATCGGGGCAGCAAATGATGAAAACAATAGTACACAGTAAACACAGAGCATGACCATCTAGTGAGAAAACAAACTTGCATGGTCTTAGTGAAGGAAGGCACTCGTGTTGAACTGAGTTACTTCGACTCTCCAAAGAAACTTATGAACTGCCTACATTTTCACGACCGCGGCAAGCCTGTCGGAGAAGCCCACGGCCGAGCGCCAATCTGGCGAGGACATGGTGATAGTCAGCTGCAAGAGAACGAACGAGCTGCCGTAAAGAAGACGGGGAGGGAGTGGAGGCTTCCGCAGGTTCCGTTCTTGGCTCCGCAGCCGAGTCAAGAAATAACACAGAGGGCCATCGATCCCCCTTGTAGTAGGGCAGTCAGTAGGAGTGTCGTCTCCATCGCCGTCGCCATCCCATCCCAACTGCTCCTCGCACGGGATCCCCAGACTCTCTGGTGTTGCAGTCTCCTACGTCAGCCCCAGCCAGCCTCGGCCGTTGGGTGACTAAAACGCCCAAGCGCATCAACTTAACGACTGACAGCGAAGTCGCCGCGACAGCTCTGCAGCTCTCCTGCACAAGCTCTCCTCCTATGTGACTGTCTCTCCCCACATCTGTCCTGGCCGCGTGCCCCTCCGAGCTCTCACCATGGATCTACAGCGCAAAGAATACCCGGCAATGCTGGTACGTGACCCCACGATGAGGCTCTATGTTGAATGCGCTCACAGCCCTTGCAGGAGTCGCTCCAGCCCGCCCAAGCAGTGAATGTACTACACGACCGGATCCGCAATGTCAGCAAGCTGAATTCCGACATCGCGGATTGGCTTCAGGTTGGTGGCTTCCCGAGGCCGTGTTTGACGGCCGGCGCTTAAAGCTTCAATAGGAACGACGCCGGGTGGAGGAGCTCTATGTCCAAGGCCTGCGGAAGCTCGCAAACAAACACCCTCCCGATGATTCCTCCGACCTCGGGTCAGTTACATCCTATGTGCTCCGCACGCCTCGCTGACAAGTCGTCCCAGCATTTTCTCAACACCATGGCAGAAGATCGTCGGTTCCGCCGAAGCTCTCGCCGACTCACACCACCAGCTCGCGCAGAAGATCGAAGCCGACGTCGAACGCCCCCTCCGAGAATTTGCCTCGGGCAATCGCGAAATGCAGGCCATGTCGAACATCTCCGGCAACCTGTCGGCCATGGCCAAGGAGATTGAGAACGCGCGGAAGAAGTCGGAAAGGCTCAGGGACAAGGGCGCAAAGGCTGCGGCGGGCAAAGTGGCCAATGCCATCACTGAGGTTGAGAATGCCACCTCTCAATGGGACTCGCAAGCGCCATACGTTTTTGAGAAGCTACAAGCTGTGGATGAGAGCCGGCTCAACCATCTGCGGGACGTCCTTACTCAGTTTCAGACCCACCAGGTTGATCAGGTGGAGCGCAATAGGGTCAGCGCGGAGGAGACGTTGAATGTGTTGCTCAATGTCGAAACCGCAGACGAGATCAAGACGTACGCATTGAGAACACAGGGCGGGAAGCCAAAGACTCCGCGGCAACAGAGTAGCTATTCCTCTCCATCGAGGAACCTCGCTCCCCCTCCTCCTCCCATAACACCATCTGTTCAAACAGATGATGGGTCAAGCCAAAGAAGCGGCTCAGGTATACATATCTGACCCTTCGTTTATTCACCAAATAGCTAATTATTCGACTAGTCCAAGAGGCGAAGCATGGGGGTTTAAGTAGTCTCAAGAGATTTGGCACTGTCCTAGGGCGCCGAAGACAGAGCACTCATCCCTATGGTCGTAGTCTATCTCCAGAAAGGAAGTCATCGTCGAACCTTGGCACAAGTTCACTATTCGGGCACAGGGGTAAAGCAAAAGAAGGTTCACAGCCCCTACCAGAGCGACCTTCATCGCCCCTGCGAAGGTTGTCCACAAACTTGTCGAATCCGCGTCCATCAGATGGTTCGAGCTCCCCGGTACAGACGCGACGATCCAGTAGTGATAAGCCGAACGGGACAACACCTGATCTATCCAATGACCCTCCCTCTAGCTCTGCTGGTTTTTCTAACGGTAACCCTCCCGAGTCGATACCAGAGTTACAGGAACCATTGCAGCCCATGACAAGCTCCGCCGTTCAGCCCGAGGTAATTACACTGGAGCGCGTTCCTGGAATTGAAAGTAGCATGCTAATCAGCTGGATAGCCCCAGAAGGACGAAGAAGGGTACTCATTACCGCCGACTACATTAGACGCAATCTCTCAGGCCGAGCACGATGCTCAATTGTTAGTTGATGACTGCACCTTCCGCTAAAACGTACTAATAACCGTCATAGGGCGAATGAAGCAAGCACTCCGCAATTTAAAGTTGACATCCGGAACGCACCTATTCAAGAGGAGGAAGGCGATGCGGATGCAGCGTTAGCTAATGTCGCCAACACCCTTCGCGCTGTAAGTTGAGGATTTCTCAACCACAATCTATCGGACTCAACTAACAGTAAATAGCAAGCTATTCCTGCGAGGAAAACAGGAACGGTGAGGGGTCGTAGGGATGTCAGGAACACGATCTTCATTCCAAACCCCGCGACTCCGGAGCTCACCAGCATTGGCGAAAGCTCTGTTCCGCCTATGCCCATCCCAGCTGTTGCTTCGCCTCCCGTCCCAACGTCCGCACCGATCCCTGCGCCTATTGTCACGCCTAACGCCAGCATATCGTCCTTGCCAGGATCACCGCCAACAGCGACATCGATAGCGCCACCGCACTCTCCGTTCAAACTCGGCCACAGATTCCTTGGAGAAGACCATGCATCCTCGGATACGCAATCTATCAGATCAGGCCGCTCTCTTAGTAGCACCGGTAGCACAACTATCAAACACCCAGACCTGCATGGCCCGGGATTGAACTCGTCGCTCGTAGAGACTGTGAGCACGTGGTTTGAGCAAGGCACTATTACGAAAGCTATGGTGATTGGACAAGTTGCACTGGCGTTCAACCCACTTGATCTGTCCCAGCCCTTCGGCACCGAGAGCATTCGGTTGGAGAATTTTCCGGTACTCGAGAAAGTAGCACCCAATCCAGCCTTCATCGAGCAAGTCACCGATACTCCCGGCAATTATAGTGTCGACTTGGCCAGGATCACCAAGACGTCTGTGGCTTTCCACTACCAGGTCCACCTCGATAGCACCAACCTAGCAACTTTTGCTCCATTGATGCTTTCTCCGGCTTGGAAAGTAGAGGCAACGCATACATCAGCGCTTTTGAGTTATTCCCTCAACCCAGCCTTCCCACTCGGGTTGTCCACCAACATTACCCTCCACAACGTGGTCCTGGTCATGCGCCTCGAGCCCGGTGTCAAGACGACCCACTGCCAATCTAAGCCCGTAGGAACTTTCTCCCGGGACAAGGCGCTCATTTACTGGCGATTAGGCGACGTAACGCTATCGCCGGACCAACCCGCACACCAGATCCGAGCACGCTTCTTCACGGATGGCGAGGCCAAGCCCGGCAATGTAGAGGCGCGATGGGAGATTAGCGGCGAACACGCAGCGGCGATGGGCAGTGGGTTAAGCGTCAGCCAGCTGGACACTGAGAACAAGACAGAGGTAGAAGTGGACCCGTTCGCGGACGAGAGCGCGGCGCCAGCCAGCCCGGCGGCTGTGTGGAAGGAGGTGCAGAGCGTGCGGCGCATCTCGAGCGGGACGTATGTCGCGACGTAGAACGGTGATGTAATTGGGTAAGTGGAGCCGTCGACGACGTTTTGGGGGACTCTGGATTCTTTGTAGATAGGTCATGTGTCAGAGTAGTGCTGAAGAAGAATGATAATCTGTTGTGTCCAGCATTTTATTAATTTGTAAGTGTTTGTTGTTGTTGGGGAAGAGTGAGCGATAAAACGTTCCTCTTTACCACTGTCTGAGGTGCCCCGGCGAGCTTACCAGGTGTTCATCTGCCTCATATTGGAGCCCGCTGAGGCTCCCTTTCCATCTGGGTTCACCTCTTTACCAGTGTCTGAGGTGCCCCAGCGAGTTTACCAGGTGTTCACAATGATAGACCTGAATCGCTTTCAGATTTCCGAAAACTCGTTGAGACACCCTAATCAACGGTAGAGGAGTGTCCACGGTTTTAAGCCTCAGTTCAATCCAGGGGTTGAATTTGGTGATGCCAGATAGCTTAATGGAAATGGTTGAAGACGACGAATATCAGCTTCCTGACTTCAGACCTTTAGAAATTTATTTCAAGTGGGTGGTCTACGCGTGCACTCGGAAGTTGGTGATGCGCTTTCGCTTGGTGCTGAAACAAACGAACTCCTTCGTATCTGGAGTGCTATTCTATGCCGGCGAGGTTCAACCAGGTCACGTGTCTAGATTGATGTTGAGAAAACGAATGGCAGTATATCGTCGTCCCGTACTCTTGGTACCCATACGAAGGCTACAAGGGTAGTGCTTGTTTGGGTAGTTTGTGTTAAGGTTTGAGGCCCTGACAGTAACTAGTCTTGGGCGAAGTTTGGTGCCAGTGGAATGCCATGTGATAAGCGGGTCCTGGCTGCCGACAGCCGACAGCCCACTAAGACGGGACGAATAGTACCCTTATTCTGACAGGCGTCTCTGCCTGTTACATGTTGGTGTATTGAACGTCTTGGATCTAGTTCCGCGGCCAGCCATTGAAGATACTTGGAGTCTGCACCGTTCATGATGCAGACGGACTGGACTCTGATCAGGCCACAAATGACTTGGCCATGAAAGAAGAACTACACTTAGGCCGAAGATGGGAACTTTCCGATGACTTACAGATACGATATCCATAAGGTCCCCTCCATCATCGAAGCCGAATCAGTGTGGATCAAGCCGCTACGGCATGCCTCGAGCCCATATTCTGCCGACTCTACCGGGAACAATGGAATCGCCAGTCTGGTGGAAGAAGCGATCTACACAACACTTAGTGCCAGGAGAAGATGCACACAGAGCCTCTTGGTCCTGTCCTGTCCAGCTACATGGAGAAGAAAAGTCGAAGCTGCGATGGTTTCACCACACCTGACACCACACGGGCGAAACGCGGCCGTTGCGCCGCCAGTCACAGACAGCTCTACGCTTCCTTCACGGCTTCTATTCGCCCGCAAAAGACTGCCTAGTAGAACGGCTCTTCCTGCGCACCGGTTTGGTACTGCCATCTAGTGAGTTGCGGTGAGGGAGAGCCGTCATCCAGCCCAGAGCGTAATCCGGTGTGCCCACGGCTCGAAACTTGACTCGAGTCGCTTAGCGCACTCAGGAGGGAGATGACGTCTTTGTGCATATCGCAGCACTGGCTTGTGCGCCAAGGCGCCTGCGACCACGGCGACCACGGCGCACACGGCGTGATAATTAGGGCCGCTGTTTCTCTGCGCCGGGAGCGTGCAAAGTGCGCGCGCCAGCTGACAGCGAGTCGAATGGACGCTGTTTCTCGAATGTGTAATGGCCCACCCACGCGCAAGGTGCGCTTTGACCCTCTTCTAACGGACCGTCGACAGGAGTTGGGAGTGCTAGCAACCATCCCATCCTCCTCCACTCCTAGCCAGCCCTATTGCTGCACGCTGCCTCCTGTGGCTCATTGCGCTTCTCTTGCAATCGCTGCGACCGTGTTCTGCCCTGCACTCCTCGAATGCTCTCCCGATCTGCTCCTACTCCTCTTCCACCGCCACGCTGTTCTAGGACCCGTGGACCCTTCAAGCCACTACGTCATTCAGAGGCGACCCCGATTTACCGCTGTGCCGCCTTGAAGACCGGCCGTGTTGGCCGTGGCTGCCACTTCTCAACATCTCCAGCGCTCGCGAATGTGGCGTATGACTGCAGTTGCCGTCGCCCTCTCGATCCTGCTTCCGTCTGGTTTGGTGCTGCTTGATCTGGAGGGAGGAGCAGGGGGCTCGCGATGAAGAAGATCTCCCCGTCCTCGAGGCCACTGTCCACCCCCAACGACCCTCCTGCCCGCTCGCCCACCAGCCCCTCGCATCCATCGCCGAATCGCCCATCGCTGCTTCGCTGGCCTCGAACCAGTCCGCCCGACAACGCCGACCCTGGAGACGCTGCGTCGCGCGCCCCCCGCCAGCCTCGCCCTAATGACGAAAGTGGAACCGAAAGTGAAGTGAGCGACGTTGCTGCCGTGGACGGCTCCAGCCAGATGGAATCGGAGAGTGGTGAATCAGAGGGCGGCGTGACGGACAAGGCCCCTTCGCCAGACGAGGTCGAGCTCCAACGTCTTCGTGCGGCGATTGCTGCTAAAATGCTCCAGAAAGAACAGCGCGCACGAATGAGTGCAGCAAACAGCCGCGGTGCCCCGGGGCAGCGCACCAGAGTCTCACCCATCAGAGAGGAGCCGGGGTCGAGCCTATCGCCCACGCTGGAGGCCTCCTTCGCCACCCCGCTGGCCACTGGACACACCTCTTCCACGGCATCGACGGAGTCGACAGAGTCCGCCAAGACCATCCGCGGCAGCGTACCACCGACACCTGGTGTACAACCACTGCGTACACCCTCTTATCCGTTTCCCACCGTGCCCGGCACTCCAAAAACATGGAATTCCGCTTTCCACCAGCCCTTCACTAACCTGTCGCCCACGGTAGGTGCCAACAGTACGAAAGACCAATCTGCGCCACGCGAACGCATATCCCCTTCTGCTTCAAGCACGCCTCTCGCCACCGCAGATACCTTTCTACCTACTAGAGCTTATCGCGCGTACTCAATGGAAGAAGACCCCCGCTATCCTTCTCCGAGCCTATACGATCTGGCCCTACAGCTAGGGTCCGAACCTGGCTTGAAAGCATGGTGGAGTACCGTCATATCAGTCCTAAGGGAATGGTATGGTGTGGAAAGAGCTACGCTTGCGGTACCGGCCGACGCCTCCGACATTGAGAATGTGCCCTGGGGACAGAAGACGAGCTTCAACCAGGCCGGCCAAGCCATGAAACCATCGCACGTATCACCACAGGATTCTAAGTCTACCTCAGAGAGCTATGGGAGTCAGAGTTCCGCGAGTCTGGAGGCCGTACTCAAAGCTCCTTCGGCGCTGTTCCTTCCTACAGGCAGACCCAAGCTAGAAACCCGCCATTCGTTTGCTGGTCACGAGCGCCAACGAAAGGAGCCACCCGCGGAGAAAGCGGCAGGCCCGCCAGCGAGACCGCAGGGACCCATCAGAACTGCGAGTCTGGCTCCACACTCGACGCCGCGAGGAGAACATCCCCTACGCCAAATCACTCCCTCTCCCCTCGATGGATCGCCATTCTTTCAAAGTCCTCCAAACAGAGACCCCTCGTTCAGTGACCCTGAATTCTCTAATCATGGAGGAGACGCAACTACGGAACCCTATGCTATCGTCTTTCCTGTACTGCGTGCTCTGGATCATGAATCGGACCCTCTGATTGATACCGCTGGCATCAATAGAGTCCTAGAGAGGGGTAAGTTGGTGACATTAACCAGGGATTACTCGGTGTCGACACCAAACTCTAGGAAAAACTCTACAGACAATAGCGAAGAGCACGGAAGCAGGACAGCCCCATATCCACCATTCTCTTCTTCGGGAGATTTCCAAAAGGCTATTCTTCGCAGTAAACCTGGCCACGCGGACAACGGTGGAAACAAGCTACTACCACAGTATGAAGAGTACGAGCAGTTCCCTAGCTCGCCATGGGCACAATCACCTGCCCCTTCACCCGCCATCCAAACAGATTCCTCGGACAACCCCTTCTTCGCAGCGGAAACTAATGTTGAGGACGACACTTTTAATCCCACTGAAAACCTGCAAGATTATTCTCGTTTTAGCCAAGTAGAAGCTATTGGCGTTGACAAGGCCAGCACGGTGACGCACATTCCGCTCATACATCCTATACTTTCCCAGACAATGCAACCGCTTGATCCCAATACGCCATCGCAAACCCCTACCATGTCCCGTAGGTCAACTGGCAACATTTTGCAAGACCCACAGCCAGCTCGGAAAGCCCCCATAGCGATCCTTTCGATACTCTCATCCACCGTGCCATATCCTCAGAACCTCACCAATTCACTCAAGCTTCTCGGTCCACATTTAGCAACTTCTTTCTCAAACGCCTGGCAATACACCACTGCACATCAGCAAGCGACTGGGATACGCCATCGTCGGTATGTGTCGGGACACCAGGTGGGGTTTGCACCTATTCATGGCCCAGAAAGTCTGGATGATCTCATGCATTTCGATCTTGACGATGTGGCCGGCTCACAGGCTGGAAGCGTTACAAGCCCGTCAGATTATTCTGGCCGATCAAGACAAAGCCCCGGTGGATCACTTGGGGGAACACCAGGCTGGGATCCATCTGCGGCGGGATTTTCAAGCAAGCATTCTGTCGGAGGTACACCTGGCCATGTCACAGGATCAGAGTTGATCGACAGTTACTTTGACTCCAAGAAACGTGCGGCTTATACTACACCGGGAAAGACACCTGGAGGTCAACCGCCACAGGACCAGATATCGCGGAAAGTCTTAATAGCGGTAGACTCTCGCTCTACTTCAAAGAAAGCGTCTGGCAATATATCGCAAGATGTTGGAGACGATGACATTCCTACACCTAGGAGCGACCCAAAGCCGAAGTCAAGGACCAGTTCATCTGATGTCCAGGACCAAAGCACAACCCAGTCGCAGCAGTCACCTCGCAGGCTTCGCACGCTGTCTTTTCAGCCTCCAAGCACGTCTGACCGCAAGCCTCATTCTCTGCTACACTCATATGGGGCCGACTTCAGCTCTTCTTTCCAGTCCCTTCCTTCTGCAGCAGTTCCTGGAATTCCACAAACGCCTGGGCCGACTTACACACCGGGGCACGCAAGAGCTGGCTCCATCACAGACACTGCTGATCAACCGTCAATGCCACCTCCGTCGGAACGCTTGCTGAGAACCATTATCGATTCTTTGCCGGTACAAATTTTTACAGCACAACCCAGTACTGGAGCAATGACTTGGTTCAACTCGAAGTATATGGTATATCGAGGTGGAGACTCACAGCACGCTCTCAGCGATCCTTATGAGTCAATACACCCCGAAGAACGAGATGCCTATATTGACCAGTGGAACAAGTCTCTTCGGACCGGGCAGCAACTTCAACAGAAGGTTCGTTTGTTGAGGTTTGATGGACAATACCGGTGGTTCTACGTTCGCGTCGCTCCGCTCAAAGATAAGAAGCAGCAAATAGTCCACTGGATCGGAACAAACATGGACTTTCACGAACAGCATCTTGCTGAGGCCAACTCCGCTCGCCAACAAGAGACCGCCGCATCTGAAGCGAAATATCGAGCGCTGGCTAACTCCAGTCCCCAAATTGTCTTTGTTGTAACAAACAAGCGAGGTATTACCTTCTGCAACTCACAATGGCTGTCTTACTCTGGCCAGGAAGAAGCACAGACATTAGGAATTGGTTTCTTGGAACACGTCCATCCCCATGACATTGTTAAGTGTAGACTGCCAGTCATGAATGAAGACGGCTCTGCGCCTGCTAATGTCCCAGTCTCGGTTCCCGTTGAACATGCTCGTGGTTACTCGTCTTCATCGGAAAATTCGTCAGAGACAGACAACACAGTCACTAGCCCTGGTGGACACCCAGCAACTATGGAAATGCCGCAAGCAAAGCTGTCCAAGCTGGCCAGTGAAGGTATCCTGAAGATCACGAAAGACGCCGACGGGCGACCCTCTTACTCAACCGAGGTTCGCCTTCGTTCTAAGGACGGCAATTACCGATGGCATCTTGTTCGAATTTTATTGGAAAACTCGGTCTCCTCAGAACCGCGGGATGAGGAGACTTGGTACGGCACATGCACGGACATCAATGATCACAAATTGCTCGAACAGACTTTGAAAGAGACCATGGATGCCAAGTCAAGATTTCTGAGCAATATGTCCCATGAGATTCGAACCCCGTTGAACGGTATCACCGGGATGGTCAATTTTCTTCTCGACAGCCCCTTAGGCTCTGAGCAAATGGAGCACGTCAATATCATCAGAAACAGCACCGAGGGACTTCGCGATCTCATCAACGACATCCTGGATCTATCAAAGGTTGAAGCTGGCATGATCACCCTCAATGTGGACTGGCTCCATCTGCCGTCACTCATTGAAGAAGTAAACGACCTCACATCGGCGCTAGCTATTGGTAAAGGCTTGGAACTCAATTATCTCGTCGAGGAAGAAGTACCGTCAATGGTCAAGGGCGATCGGTTCCGAATACGTCAAGTACTACTGAACGTTATCGGTAACGCCATCAAGTTCACTCAGAAAGGCGAAGTGTTCGTGAGGTGCCAGCTTTCAGCCGACCAACCTAAGAATGATGATGGCGATGAAATCGTGGTGCAATTTGAGGTGATCGATACTGGCAGCGGCTTCACGAAGAAAGAGGCAGAATTTTTGTTCAAGAGATTTAGCCAGATCGACGCCAGTAGCACTCGACAGCACGGTGGCACTGGACTTGGTCTGGCCATCTCCATGCAGTTGGTCGAACTGCATGGTGGAAAGATGAAGGCTACCAGTGTTCCGGGCGAAGGGTCGAACTTCACGTTCACCATCAATTTCGGATTACCACATGGAGATGATCATCCGCCGCCACCGATCGCAACGCCAGGCACGAGTCTGGTTGCAACACCTGCTCAAACACCGTTACCTCATTCTTCAGCTCATGCGGACACTGTCGCACGGATGCAGCGCTTCGCTGCCGAGTCTCCTGGGCACATCGGGTTTACCGAGTCTCCATCCATCAAGTCCCCTACTCCAAGTCTGCCTTCTTCAGAGCGATCGCGTGACACGCCATCTTTTTCGTCTGGTAGCTCTGACCCGTCGATATATACTAGCAAAACCAGCGTTCGATCAGAGAGATCTTCAGCATCGTCATTCATGCCCGAGTCGTCCATGAAAAACACACCGATTGAGCTTGCTCTACCAGACCGCAGGGGAAGTACAAGTGGACCTAGAGAATCGGATGAGTTTATTGAGACCAACCTTTCCACCGAGACTGTGCGCGCCACACCAATCAATCGAAGTCTTTCTCCACTTGCGAGCACCTTGCAACCGCCAATGTACTCCATCTTGGTCATATGCCCCTTGAAATATAGCCGAGAAGCAACTGTCAAGCACGTCAAGCGAACGCTGCCGAAAGCTGTGCCGCACCAGGTCACCTCCAAGGCAAGCTTAGAAGAGGCGCGCGAACTCATTGGTGGCGAGGACCCAGTCCTCTTTACTCACATTGTCTTGGTGCTGGGGCTCTCGTCGGACGTCATTGATTTTATGAATCTGGTCTTCAAGTCGTCCGCCCGCGCATCTACTTCGATGATCATAATCTCCGATACCATGCAGAAGCGTGAGATTATGAAAGATGCGCCAAACTACGATTATGAGGAGCTCATACGGGATCGACGACTTCGATTCATCTATAAGCCTCTGAAGCCGTCGAAGTTCGCTGTCATCTTTGATCCTCAGAAAGAGCGCGATTTGAGTACAGATCGAAACCAGGACAGTGCACAGCAAGTAGCGGTTACCCAGAAGCTGGTATTTGAGGACCTGAAAAACAGATTGGGCAACAAGGGATTTAGAGTTCTTCTTGTGGAAGACAACTTCATCAACCAAACTGTATGAAAACTCTCAAGGCTCAATTTTCCCAAAAGAAAGGCTAACAACGTCGTAGGTAATATTGAAGTTCTTGTCCAAGGTCTCCGTGACAAGCGAAACAGTCGTCGATGGCGTCCAATGTACAGAAAGCGTTTTCTCCAAGCCCCACGGGTACTATTCAATCATTCTTGTAAGTCGTCTACCACTGCTAGCCCAGTTTGAGCCACGAAGCTCACATAACATTACAGTGCGATCTCCATATGCCCAACAAAGACGGCTATCAAGCTTGCAAGGAAATCCGACGCTGGGAGCACAAGATGAACTATTCGCATCTCCCGATCATCGCTCTATCGGCAAACGTCCTCGGTGACGTCTACTCCAAGTGCGTCGAGGCTGGCTTCAACTCGTACGTCACTAAACCGGTTGAGTTCAAAGAACTCTCACTTGTCTTGACCAAATTTTTGGATCCGGAGGAGAAGGGGAAGCCGCATGAATTTATGGTGCCCAAATTGCATAAATAGTGGTGGGCCGCTGCCGCTGTTTCTACATACATATCCAGTTAATGCCGGTTCCTATTTCTACATTTTCATTTTGCATACTGGTTCTTGGGGTCCTGGACGGAGCCCGGTTTCTGCATCAGCGGTTCGGCGCATACATTTCGGTCTTCCTTTTGCACAGCGGGGCCTGGCATGGCGTTTTTCTCGAGTGGCATTGAGTGAAGAAAAAACCATGTGGTTGAATGGAGGCTATGTGCTCGTCTGTTCGGCTACTGCCTCTTCTCCTCCTACAACTTCTCCTGTTCTTCCTAATACAACTTCCTTCACTTCTCTTCAAACAACAAATTTAGGTCTTACGCCTTAAATACTCTTGCTCGAGGCATCTTCGAAAGCGTAGGCCTTGGCCGTGGTCGTTTGTTTTTCACGGTTTTGTCTTTAGTTTGGGCAGAGGATGGATTACGTAATGTCCGGGATGGACTTGAAGCATGAACTGCGTCTTTTACCCTGAGAACGGGATGGATGGATAATGACAAAGTGGGTTGGCGGTGTTGTTTGGCGTTTCTTTGTCGGAGAAGGATGGCAAATGGTGAAGATACTGCTCATAGTGGATGTGGAGGGAGTGGAGAGGCAGACTGATGAGGAGAAAGTGTAATATAGGGGACTATTTCTACTTGCTTGCCTGGCAGTAGGTAGGCAAGCATGCGACGAACATACATGATACCATTAAGGCGGCCTGCTAACTAGTCGTGATACAATTGGTTGCCTTATTGAGATTTCGGGCACCTTGTCGTGGCTGGCATTCGACAATTAGTAGATGACACGACGAATAGTGAGAATAGCATCAATACGGTATACTACAATAATTAAGTCTAACGTACGTGGGTACAAATGTTCACTGAACGTGAATTAAGTGATATCAGTCAGTTATCACCTTGGCTTGCCCAACGCAGTTAGGTGCACGCGACCCGCTGATGACGATCACTACTTGCAGCACCGCCCGCCCACCTCGCACCTTGGAACTCAACGCTGCGCCTTGCCGCAGCAGACACAACCCGTAATACATTCTGAACATCCCCTCCGTTTCTTCTATCTCTCGCTTTCCACGTCCTTTGAGAGCTGTCTGGACAGCAGACTGTCGCGCCATCACACCAGGCGCCAAACTTCCTAAACTGGGACCAGTTTCACCATTCGCCGCATACACGACCCGTCTTCACCGCGACCTCCTTGAGACCTGACTCTTCAACCTCAATAATAGAATCCATAATATCCTCCCAGCGAGTCCTCTACTCACACCGCCGCCTTAATGCGTAGCCTCATTCGGGCCCTCGCCGCCCTCCCCATCTCCACCTCCCTCACGACCCTCCTACTACTCACCTCACTTCCCCTCTCGACCGCCGCGGACCTCGTAATCGATGTCACGAAACCCGCAACTTGTACACGGAAATCTCAGGCCGGTGACAAGATCGCCGTAAATTACCGCGGAACCCTCACCGATGGTACCCCGTTCGACAACTCCTACGATCGCGGTTCACCGTTTACGTTTACGCTGGGGGCTGGGCAGGTGATCAAAGGGTGGGATCAGGGATTGCTGGACATGTGTATTGGGGAGGGGAGGAAGTTAACAATTCCGCCGGAGCTGGGGTACGGGCATAGTGGTGCGGGGGGTGTTATTGGGCCGGATGCTGTATTGGGTGAGTCCTGATATCTCGACTGGGGAGATTTGGACACGAACTAATAGTTTGGCAGTTTTCGAAACAGAGCTTATGGGAATCAAAGGTGTGAAGGCTGAGACCCCATCGCCTTCTTCAGCAGCTTCTGGGACAGCGACGGAAGCCGTACCTGAACCGACATCTACTGGCTCTGAAAAGGGCCCTAAAGACGACGAGGGCGACGATGATAATGGCGAATGCCATCTCCTGGGTCCCTTTGCGCTGATTATCCAAGGCGCGCTGGGCTTGCTCGCTATCTCGGTCCTTGTGTATAAAAGATGGCGCGAGACGCCCCGCCGCCCGCTGAAGATCTGGTTCTTCGATGCATCGAAGCAAGTCTTTGGCTCAGTATTGCTACATATTGCGAACCTGTTCATGTCGATGCTTTCGTCGGGGAGCTTTGATGTTGCGGCGGCAGCGAAGAACGCTGTGCAGGATGATGGAGGAAAGAAGCCTAATCCGTGCTCGTTCTATTTGTTGAACATCGCAGTTGATGTGAGTATACCGTCTTTACACCCTCTTGATGTAGAAAGCGACTCAAGTTAACACAATGTCTACCAGACCACCCTCGGCATCCCCATCCTGGTCATACTCCTCCGCATTCTCCACATCGCCTTCTCCTACACCCCCCTCGCCAAACCCCCATCGTCCCTCCGCTCCGGCAACTACGGCAACCCACCCCGCGCAACATGGTGGCTCAAGCAATCCTTCATCTACTTTTTCGGCCTCCTCGGCATGAAACTCTGCGTTTTCGTCCTCTTCCTGCTCCTCCCCTGGATCGCGTGGGTCGGCGACTGGGCACTGCGTTGGACCGAAGGAAACAAGCGCCTTCAAGTAGCATTCGTGATGCTCGTGTTCCCTCTGATTATGAATGCGATGCAGTACTGGATTATCGACGGCTTCATTAAAGATGATAAGCGGAATACGGCTGCGGAAAACGAGGCTGAGGAAGGGGAGGGTCATGCGGAGATTGTCAGGAGAGGAAGCGAGGACGACGCGTTTACGATTGAGGACGACTCTGAGGACGAGAGCGATGAGGAGGCTGGGTTGGTGAAGAAGAGCAACGCGGCGTCGTTGAAAGAGGCGAATCCGACGGCTGTGCCTATTAGGAAGGAGTACGATCCCGAGCGTGATGGGGTGGGGAGCTCGGGGAGTGATCGGAGTGCATTAACGGGAGAGGCGGCGAGGAAGGAGGTTGGTAAATAGGACGTCTGCCATCGGGGTCTGGTTGTAAAGGCGTTTCTAAGTCCTACATAATGGATGGGTGTTTGGGTTGGGCTGGACTGGACTGGCGCTTTTGCGCATATCTATCGAGGCTACTGATAGACGTATATATGGTTGTCTGGGCTGTATGATAGCGGTGTGAGGTTATGGGTATCGATTGTTACTACTTGCAATTTCGCGTATAGACCTCTTCATATACCCACGAACCAACTCTCGTTTCTAAGGGAAGTATTGTGTTGAAGCTTGGATGCATCAGGATCGCCTAGAAGTCCCGGCGCGGTCTCGGTTCATCAAAAGTGCGATACTTTTGAGTGCTTGGAGGGGCCCAAGACTTGCCTATCCAGATCTCGGGACGACGATGTGACTCACTTAAGATAGATCGCTCGCCCAACTACCTCCTAGCAGCTCGGTGGAGTCCACCTTGTTGAGCTCTTTGACAAGCCCGGTAATCAAAAGGCTTGTAGTGTCTTTACATCGGCAAGCCCTCCACTGCCACATTGTAGAGGTATTTACCAACATGTGCATTCCTCGTTGGCTGAGTGCGATCCGCTGGGATGTCATTCGAAAAGCTCGGATAAGCAGCATGACGGCGGCGAATCTGTGAACCCAGGATCAGATAGAGTGCATCAGAGGATTAAGCGACTCCTACAAAAGTACGTTGGAAATCAAAGACCTGGACAGACTTGGGTCTCATGTACTGAAACAGCGCTTGGCCGACTTCTTCGCAGTAGCAGTCGATGATTCTTTGACGGTCAGTGAGGTCGGAATAGCTCATTCGAGTCTCCATCTCGACGACGGCGATGCCGTCGCGCTCAAAGGTCAACTCGTGTTCTATCCCTCAAAAATCATGAATGGGAATGTTCTCTATTTTCTCTTTGGCATGGTTACCTTTGTACCTTTGTAAGCTGTACATAAACAGCAGACTTGAGAACCCCAGTAGATATATTCCGGTGAATCAATAACTTTCGATTGAGCGGAATGAATTATAAGTTATTTTACGCTAATGTCGATAATGTCTTGATCGCATTCAAGCCAACTACGTTTTGTCCCGATATGTAACATGCAATGCTCACAAGACTCTCTTAACTGTTTGCACATCCAATGCAAAGAACGCCATGGTGACAAACATCAGAGGCAAAGAGGCAGCAAAGAATATCCATAAGGGAATAATACCAGTCCCCAGCTCCTTGAAGTTCATACTAAAGAAACCAGCCGTAAACGTGAACGGGAGGTACACAAAGGCGACGAGTGTGAGCTTCGTGACCAACTTCGCCTGCTGGATGGCGCGTTGCGACTCTGCGAGCATGCTTTCATTACTGATGACTGTCATTCTTTGAGTGCACTTCTCATGAAGTGATTGTGCTTGCGAGTGTAGGTTTTGGAATAGACTGTACACTTCAGCCACGGCGTGATCGGCTACGCCTCTTTGATCGGTCGATATGGTGATAGTAGGCCGACGACCGTTTTGGAGGATTTTGTTCTGGTCGCTCGTCAACTGAAGCATATACGAAGCGTTGCTTAGCTGATCTTGTAGGATGTCCCGAAAGTATAGCTCATTACTGAGCGATAGGCGGTTCGTTTCGGTCATTATTTTCTCTTTCATGACATTCAGAAGCTGCTTCTGAGAAAATGCAGGTAGTCTGAACACGTCCGTCCGACAAGACATGGAAGCGGTTTGATTCTGCAAGCGACCAATCTAGACCACGACCGTAGCCTTCCGGGAAGACGGCGAGATTTTGCGTATTCCTTCCTTTCTTCAGCCCAGTGGTACTCTCATTTATACTGCGGGATTTTAACGCACACCTCGGTCTGTAATGAACGATTGGGAGAATCGTGATTGGCAATGGTTCCGCGCCACCCCCGAGCTATGGAAATCGCGGCCCCTGGGTGAGGTCGTTTCCTGCATGTGTACAAGCGATGAGTATAGTCATCAGCAAATCTATCGATTATGGTCGTAATAGAGATCATACCCATCCAAGTTTTTCCAACGTCGAAAATGGAGATCACGATCTCCTGTTCAATGACGCAGTGCCATTCATCTAGCACACGAAAATTCCGCACAGTCGAGTCCCCTGGCTTCAGAGCCCAGTTTCCCCTTAATTCTGTCTGGTACCTCTGGAGATCGCTGGCTGCCTTCCCGCGCAAGGCGTCTACCTCCTCCTGAGATGATCGATATCGGTAGTTCTTAGATCCGATGGTAAAGAACTTGAAGCGAAATATGTTACTCACTAGAGAAGGAGCGGAGTCGAAATAATAGTCGCTCCCTGGTCCTGCATGGTACCTGAGAAACCAGCGAAATAGCTCGGGATCGACGTAACAAAAAGCGCCAATACTTGAAAGCCAACTCTGTGAAGGATGGCCCCGTAGGAATAGCACTTGTGGATGCGATATTTCGATATTACTTCTCAATGCCTCTATGCACGACTCCGGATCAGCAAATCCCTCGGACCCTCCCCGGTTCTTATTGCTGTCCGACAGCGAATGCTTGTCTGACAGAGATTGCTTGTCCGACGAAGCTTGCTGGCCCAGCTGGCTCGGACTGATGAGCCAAGCGAAATCGCTGGGCGCATCGTTTGCAGTGTTTGGTTCAGTGTTTGATTTCTGCTCAAGAAACCGTTTTAGCGTATCATAAATCTCTCCAGGATATGACGTCTCGGCGCTGGATTGCTGGGAATGGTGCGCGATAGCTTTGATGTATTCATCGGTTGTGCCTAGCTCGTGGTCAGGCTCATCATCGGGACATCTGAGGCTGAAGACTTACATCTGGATGTGTACGAGATCGGTTTGCTTTCTGGTATGGTAGGAGTAGTGCTGCTATTGCTTTTGGATCGAAGAGGAGGATGCTGCAGACTTCTGGAGCTCACCTTCTGTGCAGTTCACCGGTGACGACCCGGAAGCGTGGATGGACGTAGAAGGGCGTACATCGGCACGGACGGTTGCATAAGGGTGTCTTGGCCGGGTTTCATTCAAGCCATGACGCGCGTTAGTGGTGGCTTGTTCGCGCCTCGTAGCTCAGGCGGCAGGATTTTGTGCATGCAGCCGGGCGCTTAAACTGATCCTCATTGATAGATTGATAAGATTCCGCGGGTTAGTTAGTGTCGTATCTGACCGTCTGCCTCCCCCCTTCATTGCCATAGCATCGCACCGTCCCGGAGGCCGCATACGAAAGTCATGTCCTCGACCGCTCACATCTCTGTCTTGTTTTTCTTCTCGCTTCAGCCTGCTGTGCAGTTCCATGAAAGCTGATCGCATAAGGCGCATACCTAGGCCTTCAAAGCGGGGTCACATGCTTCGTGTAAGGCTGAACTGTACTAAGCGACTGATAACTCTACACATTTTGCAAGGAGTGATGCAAGCCACTCGAGCATTCGTGGTTGCGATAATAGTACTTCTTCGATACGCTCAAAACTGTAAGAAGAGGCTCTAAAGCTGGGTGAGCATTATGCCCCATTAACTAATCAGCAACGGGAACTCGCCCGCAAAGATGCAAGAATCAGCAAGCTCAAAGGAAATCAGCGAGATGAACAGCACTCTAGAGGAAATGAGCGACTGGCTTGACAAATTAGGAAGTAATATGAAAACAGGAGCGAAGAAGCTAAAGAGAGAATGCGCGTGTAGGGAGAGCGACGGAGACGAACGAGCAGCACCAACCGAAAATAGAAAGAAACCTACCTAAGATAGAAAGGAGGAAACAGTTAATAGGACGCTCTTTTGATACTGGGCTGTTTAATAGAGCGAAGTACGTTGAATTCACCGCTTGGCCCCTACGTTACCTTTGTCATCCTACCCAGCCCTACCCATAATGCGGGCTTAGTTTCCGGTCATGTGTAACTTGCTTGTGTCGAGGTCGCGCCGCTCTCAGTTGAGCGTTCGTATGAAATTGCATTGCGGAAGGTCACCTTTACTTTTTCGTCCTTGAGCTCGACGGTAATGAGCTGGCGACTTCATCACCGGCGGAGGGTATTATTTTGTCCTGAGCAGGAGTGGGTGGTTTCATGCTGATCCTTGCCCGCCAAACATTCCGCAACCGTAGTTGCTCTAAAGCTCCTTCTAGAGGCCGAGATAGTTCGGGCATATTCTAAATATACTGGTACAGATCGGAAGCGTCTCTTAGTTGTGCCCGGAGATATCATCAAGGTCTACGCATACATTAACGAGGCAACTATCGTCGGATTCAATACGCGAACCAATGTAGGAGGTTGATTTCCCATTGACCTTGCAAAGGAGATTGAACCACAACTTCATGAGAGGCCGAAATCTTTATTTGCGAATCCGGCAGCACGTATGGAAGTCCATCCTCTCCAGGGTATACGACTGGACAATACGTTAGTGTCTAATTGGGAAAAGGATCAGGGTTGCGCTTACGGCTGCAATTAAAGTACTCTCGCTATGGGCAAGTTCAATACTAGGTACTGTTTCAGGAAAGTTAAGCGGGATAAAAAAACCTGAAGACTTTTATGGTTTTTCTACCTCATCAACTAATCCATCTCCAAGTGGGAGAACAGAGCAGTAGTTCCCTAGCCCTAGTGCTTTAATCTCGTCCTCTGTAACTCCCACCAACGATGTGAACGTGGATAGTATTTATCCGTGTCCGAATCTCAAACATCTGCAGCACCAGTACTTCGAACGCAGTCAATACAAATGCTAGCCTCCCTTTTCAGAGCGTCCAGCTTTCCGAGAAGCGTTTCGCTATAGCGTAGGGCTCATGATAGTAGTTCCTATAAGAGCTCTTATCGGGACAATATTTCCTTTCCATGTCCTCAGTGGACACTTGTGTCATTTTTGTGATGACTTCTGCTATAGGAACTTTAAGCATCTTGATTGGCATATACTCGACCAGGAGGAGCCCATATTTTTCACTGCGGGTGTTACCCCAGCCACATTTACAGTTGCCCCTCTTTCCCCTAATCAATAGCTGGCAAAGTTCTGCTCGCAATTTCGTTCTTCGTTCCTCTAACAGGTCTAGGAGAGTTAGTGATAATTAACTAAACTTGTTGGGATTACTGCATACAAAATATTCTCAACGGTATAATTTGACTAGTAAACTCATCGTCTAAGAAGTCCAAGTAAGACCCGTCGTAATGGAGTATTAGCGTTAGGATATTTGCCATAAACAGGTCCGTGTTGTCAAATAGGAAGACTGCTGCCAAAAGATGCCCCATTTCCACTCTTTCCGCGCTGGCTTGCGGCTTTAGCCACTCTAAGCTGGCAAATTTAAGGGCAATTACAAGTTCGTATTTGTCGACCTCGATGGCGATTTGAAGGACCTCTTTGGCCGGTAGGTGCTGTGGTACCAGGTCATTACGATGATGGATAACGTAACAGATGGTTCGCATCGCATCGGCATCATCTTCCGGTAGTGGAACTTCCGTTGGCGATTCTCTGGAAAGTCTCTGACCCTCACTCCAGTTCGGCCCGAACATGGCGCCAAAGACTTGAGATGCAGACCGAAGGCATTGGGAGTGGACTCTCAGTCTTACGTCGTCTCCTCCAACTATCAGAACAACATCCCCGTCTGGGACGATGTCTGTAACACAATCTGGCTTGCTGTTATGCTTTGCTGTATCCATATTCCCACATCAATTGTTGGTAAACGCGACGGGTTCTTTGCGCTCCGCCTGTTCCTGTCTCGAGCGTCGCCTGTGTGAACGGTACAGCGTAGAGTGAGGGACGTTGCTAGAGTTTGATAGGGAATGTTCTGGGCTCCGTGGGATAGCAGGGCATTAGCCGGATCCATTTCACAAATGACGGTGGTGTTGGTACGAGCTGCGCTAGCCAGGCTTCTTACAAGTAGAGGACACTTCGCGGACTTCCATCAACACTTCTAGAATCTTACTGTAATGTATTTTCATGTAAATAACAAGATATCTAATAAACCAATGAACGGGAGGTAAAGCATAACGTAAGCGGGATCGATAACTATGTCTTAGCACTACGGACGGATGTACCTGCACCCTTCGGCGAAACTCCCGGACTGTTAGTCGTTGAGGGCTGAATGTTGACGAGGCACGGTGCAGTATTCATTTTCGATGTGACTTTCGATCTACGGCTCCGAAATTCGTAGAACTTCCGATATACATGCACTCTCCGTGCGACAAGAGAACCGACCAAGAAAACGACGAAGCTGGAAGTATTTTCTTGTTGCAATTGAGCATTGGCTACAAAATAAAGAATTTTTTTGAAATCCATGTTTTTGAAATCCCAAAATTGTTGCACCTAGAAGTACTGCGGCAATCTCCGGCACGGCGGGTTTTCAGCCACGCCGAGAGGGAGGGTACGCTGGCGATTCAAATACGCCAGCGTTATGCGACCCATACTGGCTCCCTTTAGGCGCTGGCGCTCACTTTACGCTGGCGAGATGAGGAACGCAGGTGCTGAATCAGCACGTGAGCTTTGCGAACTCCAGGAGTTCGCAAATGGGCAAACTCGGCGTCACGTGAGGACCAGTTCCACCCCAGAACATAGACTCCGTGTAACCCTTACATCTCTCTCGAATGGGAAGATGAGGTGTGGTGATGATGCCGCACTCATGCTTGATCCAAACCTATCAGTCAGGTATGTCTTGGCACTCCGCAAATGCCTCCATTAGCACGTGATGCACTCTAGCGGACCCCTGAACATTCTTCTGATCTACATTCATCGAATGCCACCCTTCGAAGATGGGTCAAGCTACCTTGCATATTCTCGCCTGTCGTGTTGCCGGAATTATCGATCGGGAATCGTCCTGTGTCCAATTGGGACAAGCGTCGCCAAGTGTTTACTGTACTTCACCTCATCCCTCTTCGACACGACCTGCGAGCTTCCATGCCCACTCAAGCCGAGAATCAGCGCCGGCGAGCCCAGTCGCAGAGAGACAAGGCCAATCACCGACGTGAGGTACAGCAATTAGAAGCCAGAGCTTTTACTCGTGTGCTTCAACGAGCTTTGGATACTTCTCGGACACCACTATCTAGGATATAACCAGCCCATGCGCAGATATAGCTCAAATATGTTACACTACGAGAATGCTAGCTGACACACGAAATAGCCTTCCAAGATAGAGACCTATTAAGGCAGATTCATGGACTCAATGGCAAGGTAAATAATTTAGTCTCCTACGCAGCTATGACTAAGTCGGTTTCTAGAATGTTCAATGAAGAAAAGTACTCCGACGTTGTTATTTTTGTCCATGGTGTTAAGCTTTATGCTTATAAACTCGTCCTCTGCCTACGAAGCCCATGCTTTGAGAATGCTTTTAAGGAATAATTCGCTAAGGGCAATACTAACGTCATTGAATTTGATTAAGATAGCGGGAGTGCTTATTGGAAAGTCTTTGAATACCTTTACACCGGTGCCTACTTAGATAGCTTCACCGTCGCCAAGTTAGAAGGTGAGTGAGTGGGCTTCAGCAACCTTTAAAGATGCTAATATTGTTAGAGAACCCAGCATTGCTAAAAGACCTTTAAGTCTATACGCTGGCAGATATGTTCTTTTTGGCAAGTCTTAAGAAACTTGCCTTAGAGAGGTTCCAGCAGAAAGTCGAAGAACATTAGAGGAGCGATAAATTTCCGGAATGCATCTAAGAAGTCTACGGCTCCACGTATGAGCGTGACGCGACGGTTCGAGCTATTGTAGTAGAAGTTGCAGCTCGGAATGTGCAGGAATTAAGTAGAAAGAAGGATTTCCAAGACCTCGTCCGCAAAGGGGATGATTTTGCGGTTGACTACATGGAGCGTCTGGAAGAAGAGGTCTGCTGGCGGAACACGGCCATCCGTGCCGTCATACGATAGATCTATTTCTGGCTCTCTCTCTGGACGCTGGCGTTGACCTTCCGCTGGCGATTCCAATGTGCCAGCGTTATATGAATAGATTAGGACGCCGCATGCCTTAGCAGCTAGAGAGGCTTCCATGAATGTCTGGGAGCGCCGAGCCTTATGTTGGCGAAGGAAGGCTATGGATCGGTATAAGTTACCAATACAAATTAAATAAGGGCTGGTATAGATGCGTACCTCATATTAGTACTAGTGTGTTGGAACGGAGAATTAGGGCTAGTACGAGATGCGTACCATTACAAAGTGAGGAGCCCGTTTGGGCTCCTCTTCCCCTTTCGTACTGGTAGACTCTCAGTAATGGTACGAATAATGCACTTCTCATAATGGTCTAACATTCGTACTGGTCCCTTATATGCACCTTCGTAATGGTACAAACTTTGGAATGGGACGCAGCCCGTACTGGTCCCTATTTTGGTTCTTCGTAATGGTACGCCCTTTGGAACGGTACGGATATCGTACCAATCCCTGTTGAGCAAGTGATTGTGTCTGCTTTTTTCATTGTCTGGCTATGGATGGGCGGGGTGCCTCATATATGTATCATTCTCACCCCTTGTCACATCGTTTCAGCCACCATTAACCGTGACATTCAACACTCCCACTCGATGGCTATCTTCACTAGGAAGAGTGCTAGCGACAATTTGTCACGGCTCTGACAGACCCCGTTAAAACCTTCAAAAAACCTTGAAGGCAAAAAGAGAAGGAAAGGGTGCCTGTGTTCTGCCTCCGCTCGAAGCTGATAGTTCGTGCGGATCACTCGATACCTAGCCCTCTCCGAAACCATTCAAATCTGTCTCGTGCAAGAGGCTTGGTAAATCCATCGGCGATTTGTGCTGTAGTTGGAACATACTTCAGTTCAACTGTTCCAGCGTCTTGAACCTCTCCTTGCCACTTGCGCTGGATTTCCATATGCTTCGTGCGTGAGTGGTACTGTGGGTTCGAGGATAGAGCGATGGCTTCCTAGTTGTCGCCACATATAATTGTTGCAGCTTTTCCTTGGCCCATGTTCAGCTTATTAAGGAGTCTTCTTAACTAAATCGCCTCCTTGGTCGCTTATATCTGTCCTATAAATTCTGCTTCACAGGTTAATAGAGCGACGACGCTCTGGCGCTTGGACTGCCAGCTAATTGCTCCGCTCCCGATATTGAACAGGTATCCAGCTATTAATCATCTTATATTGCAACATCCAGCCTAGTCTGCGTCTGTAAAACCCTTTAACATCTAGAGGTAACCTTTATATATAAGTCTAAGATCCCTTATACCTTTAAGGTACCGCAGGATGCGTTAAGTAAGCTTTATATATTATGGCCCAGGATTTGCTAGATGCCGGCTTACTATAGAAACTGCATATATAATATCTCCTCTAGTTCTAAGCATAATATATATTAGAGATCCTATAATATATTAGTATTCCGCTTTTTAATTTAGAGGGCAGTTATATTCTAGGATATTCTCTAATAGTAGTAAGGTTTCTATCGGCGTGCTAATAGGAGGGCAGTTGTTAATTCCGAACTAATAAATAACCTTATTAATATAAGCTTCTTAACTTAGGTATAGTATCCTATTCTAACAGTTTTACTAGATAGATATCCTAAGGTAGTAGCTATATAGTCTAAGGTCCGTTATTTAGAAACGGTTTCTTAGGCCTTTTTTAATCCTTTTAATTTCTGTAATACTTAGTTTAATAATTAGAAGGTTATTAATATACACCGCGATGTATATATTGCTTTATATAAAGATTCTAAGGTTAGCGTTAATTAGTTTAAAGCTAAGACTATATAAAAAGTTTATAAGGGTCTAATACTAGATATAAGGAGCTTACTTTAGGCTATAGAGTGCTTTCCGGAGTTTATAGACCCTTAGTATACCGTCCGCTATATAGTATAGCTGTTCGACGTAGATCTTATAGTCTATATCACCGTATAGAAAGGCTGTCTTAATGTCTATTTATTCGATCTTAAGGCCTAGGGCGGCCGCGATTGCGAATAGAGCCTTATAGCTTATTAGCTTAATAATAAAGGCGAACGTTTCGTTATAGTCGACGCCCTCTTCTTAAGTAAAGCCCTTAACCTGGCAGCCAGTTAGAATACTCCTACGCACGTCTATCTACGCGTTTTAGCTGTATAGGGTTTACTTTTTAGCTGGACAGGGTTTACCTGTTATTTTGTTACCGTTGCTGCCTATAACCCCTAGTTTCTCTTTACTATATAGCTATTTATTAGCACCTTAATACAACTTATACTTTCCTTACTAATCCTTTACCCTTCCTACGCTAGCTGCTATAACTACCTATCTGCTTTTATAGCGGATAACTTCTCTATACGGTCCTTACTTAAGCTTAAAAACCTATTTACCGCTAAGAACCTATCGATTTCTAGAAGGGTTAATAAGCTCCTATATTTTGTTCTATTTAAGCGAGTTAGCTTCTTCGAGTATTGCCCTTTTCTATTTAGGCTAGCTCGTGTTGTTTTTTACTTAGTAAACAGTTTTTAGTTTAAAGGGTTCCGTTTCTTCCGCAGCTACTATTAAGAATATTAGGAGTATATTGCTTTTAGGTATATTTATTAGCGCAAGTTCTTCTGCGCTATTATCGGATATATTTAATACGGCCTACAGGATACGGATTTTAAGTTTAGGGTAATATTCTAAGGCTTTTTACCTTACTCTATAAACTAGGCGATTAAGCTAAAGTTTTAGATATTATTGCTATTTTTCTAAGGCTTAGTTATATAGAGCGTTATCCTATTGCTAGCTGCTATTAA